ATCATTTCTTCCAGTTCCACGCAAGATAGTTCAACATTACGTTCAACTGAAAGTGAAACAATATCTGCACGTTCTTTGTATTTAAGATTATTCTGTAAGATTATGAGAGAGCCTCCCCTGATAGCCGATTTCCTACAAAAACTACTAACAACTGTATAATTATCTAAGCCTGTAACTAATTCATAATTTCTGAGCCAGTGCTCTGTAATACATAAAATGTTTATATTCATTGTATTTAAAAATAAGCATAGTTCTAAGTCTTTACCAGAAAAGCCTTGTATATTTTGGTGAACAATATTTAGAAATTTAGACTTTTCCTTGGTCTTGATATAGCTAGAGAGCTCCTCTGTTGTCTTACGAACTAATTTAAATTACAATTAATGTCAGTATTTGGAACAAAATCCAAAGTCTGATCCACATAATTATGCTGCTCAATAGAAGCAGTAGTGTTAGCCAAGTTTTTGGCTATGTGTGTAAAATAAAATAATAGCGAAGAAGCTATTTGTCTCTTATGGTAATATGAAAGATAATATTTATCTCTTGTCATTTTAAAATTATATATTAATTTATTTATATCAATTAAATGTACTTTTTGACCACTATACTGAGACATGGTACTTAATGTCAAATTTAGCCTGTACCTAATATTATTTTCTTCACTTGATAGACTCTTACTATAAGGAAATGTATACATAACTATTCTATTTACATTTAGAGAACACAAAGAGTTATAGTAAGTCATAATGTCATTTTTGCCAACATTACCTCTATTACCAATTAAAATAATTAAACTTGTATTTTTGTCAAGTTCAAGAGTTAATATTTTCTTCATTAATTGGTGCATTGTGACACCTGGCAAACAATAATTAATTGTATTTTCACCCAGCTGTTTTTGTAGTAAGCAACCCAGATCTTTACCAAATTCGTCACATAACATTATATACTTATGAAAGTTTCTCTGCTTAAAAGAATTACATCTAATTGTGGTCTCTGAGTGAACAGATTTATTAATCAAGGACTCACATACTGGATCAGTGTCATTTTCTTCAGTAATGCTCTGATTCGATACCAAAGAGTGACACTTTACAGGTGTGTCTTCGTGAAGGGAGGGGTTAGATAGACACTTTAAGGCCAGAATGTATTCATCTATCTGTTTTTTTGAGTTATTATAATTCTGAGTCATTTTAGATAATGATTGTTGAAGGCTTTTTAACTTAATATTCAATGACTCCATATTTTGTTCATATGTTAATCTATTTTCTTCAATTATGGAACGGCAAATATCTAATTTTTGTAGTAACTGTGTACGTTCTTTAACAAACTCAATATTTCTATAAAATGTTTTTTCTTTATTTATAAGTTTCCTAGTTTTTAAAATATACCTTCTGACTTTAACATATCTTTTTAATTTGTTCTTACTAAGCTTAACAAGTCCCTTCCCGGCAGAACATTGACATGAATTGTCAGAATTCAAATCATTTACACAGGGGTTAGAGTTACATTTAGAATAGATGGGCTGCTGGCACTGCATTAGAGGTCCTCCGGGTGATGCCATCAGTTCCTCATAAAGACTTTGGGTATGTGCTGACTCTTGAAGCTGCTGAGCTTCCATAAAATGCGCTATTTGGGTATTTGCTGCACTTAGCTCCTTCTCAAGGTCAGTGATGCGTTGCAGAGCCCTCTCATAAGTGCTGAACTGCTCATCATAGTGGCTGATGGTATCATTCAAATTGTCTCGTTGTAGTTGGACTTCTATGTGTTCAGTATGAAGATGCGATAGTTCACACTTAAGCTGCGTGTTCCTGTCTATGACCTTTCTAATTTCTTCTTCATTCTCCTCACGTTCTTGAAGTAGCTGACTACAAGTCTCCTTTGCATGCTTGAGTTCTTCAAGAGCATGCCTCAGTTGGAGCTCTGTGCATTGAGCTGCAGCTTTGCGGGTCATCATTGTTGTAATTGTTTCTTTATAACCTGAAATGAGTTAGAAAAAATGTGAGTTTGCTTCAGAATTACTTATTATTATATTTTATACTGCACAGTTCCCAAAAACAATTTTATTTTTATTGTTATTATATGAGGGTAGATAATAATACAGAATTAATTAATAAACTGCTTTTCTTATCTTAATCGATAGACCAACTAAATGGATAATATTCGATATCTATTATATATTAGTAAATAAGCACTCAATATTAAAAAAGGTTGCTATGTCTCATTAAATTTTCCTAACTGAATAAAGCAACAAATATCTCAATATATAATAACAGCTAGTACTATGATATAAGAACAAATTACACAGCAATAGGGTTCAGACAGTTATTTTCAAATGTACTGTTGTTAGTGTATAGCTTGTGAAGAGTAAGAGAGGGTGTATGACTGGAGCAAAAAGTCACCATCAAATTTTGCTTCCACTATTATGTCAAGCAAAGAGAGGTTTACTGTGCTATTCGTTTTGAATTGTGACGTTACTCACTGATTAAGTGAGTTATGTGCAGTAATTTGTTGAGGTTTTCTGAGTTGAAAAACTAAATTATACACTTTCATTAATCGACAATGACACTCTTTTTTATAGAAAATACTGAAAAAATAAAATGTACTCCCCCGGTTTATGATGCAGCATGTCACACTATTGTCCTTTTTCGTAATTATTCTTGAATATTACAAGTTTTTCTTCTTGATTTTGACAAGTAGGTAGTCGTTACAATATTTGTGTTGCAGTATTTTAAATGTTTACTGTCCAATTCTTGAGAAAACAATTCCACACAATATTTACTATATACACTACACTGTGAATCTATTTTTAAATAGAAATAACACGAAAAACCTAATTATTGATAATTTTAAAACCAGCTGATACAAATCAAAACTACATACAAATTAAAGCAAAACTACAATATTTAGCAGCTATAATTCGCTTTTTCATATGGCTTTTACTGGGTTCATTCTGTATGTTCAATAACAACGAATTCGGTGCCAGCCGTAGACTTCTCAACTTTTGATTTATCTTTGGGTTTTATTAACGTTATTTTAGCCAGTTTTTTACTGTTTTCAGCAAAATCCTTTAAATGACTTATTGTTTTTATTGACTTGGCCATCTGCTTTAGAAATTGACGTAAGTGCAAGTTTCTGATTGTTCATGTAACCATCTGCTGCAGCAATTTCTCGGACTATGAAACTACAACAAACATGACATTTCTGTCAGCGACCCGTTGAACGGCTTTCAGCTCAGACAAAACAAGAGATAATGTTTAATGTGCGTCATGCCACTTGACGCAATTGATGGCTGCTATTTGTCCTGGAAAATTGGATTTAAAGTGTTATGATAGTCTTCAGGCCTATAAAGCATATAATATTGAACATATTCAGATATGTACCAGATCAAATCAATAGATTATCATCACAAATCTTAGAAACAATATTTTAAGAAAACAGATCATAGTTAGGGCAAATCCTCGGGAAAACTTAGAACCCATTGATGATATAGGAAGATTTTAGTTGGAACGATTTGATAGGTAACGGATTGCACTAGTATTTGTTTAAAAGTACGATATAAAAAAGTGCTTATGATATCATATAATTCAATTCAACTTCTTTATTGTGTAATGAAATATATAGCCATATGTCTTACTTATTCCTTTTAAATCATTACACAAAATGTAATAAACATGAAGTCTACATAAAAACCACTTAAATCAGTGTCAATATGATGGTCAATATGGGTATTCATTCATCCACACTTCAAAATCGTGGATCATATAATTTGACCGTTTTCTTTCATAAAAAAAACCAATATAAACAAACAATTTGCTGTAGTTTTGTGTTTTATTGATAATCTAAACAAACAGTTAAGTACATAATTTTTAGACGGGCTCTCATGTGTGAAGAAAGTATGTTGTACTATACCGGCTGTGGCTCCACGACAGTGCAGGCGTTGTGAAACCCAGTACACGCCGACATTGCCTCATGATAGAGTCATATTCCGACGGACATGCAGGTGCCGACGGGCAGACCGATGCTATGGAATGACCGCACTTACGTAACCATGGACCTTGACATTTTTACTCACTATTTATAATTGAAATAAGTACTGCCCCCAATATGTTATAGATCGGAGGTGTCTAGAATGATAGAATGATTTTATGATGTCAATGAGGAATGATTGCACGATTTCAGTCGCAACTAGATATGGCAGAAGGAGGATGTAGTTCTTGAACAATGACGCACTTCTACGCATGATGTGTGGATTTTCCACTTTAGTCTAAAGTTGTCTGTTTAACAAAGTATCAGAAATCTGCAAACAAAACAGATTATGTTGTTTAAATAGTTTAAAGGCAGAAATTTATGAGGGCTATGAAATCTTCATACGTATCTGTGTCTAGCAAGACACTATCAGTAGACAGATTTATATTTCGTTCAAGTTCATTCGACAATCCGTTTATCCCCGCTGTTAGCGATCCAAAGTAGAAGTGTAGATGACGACTAACAAGAAAATAAATACAATAACAGGACGTTATAACGAGCATTACATTTAATGGACGTCTCTGAGTGCAGCCGCTTGTTAATGGCGACTCAAGAAATCTTAAAGTACCTATCCTAAGGTGAAAGGATTCTATCGTTAGTACTCGTATGTAAAAAAACACTAAGACCGCGAGACATTGCGTTTTTAACCAGACGAATAAAAAGCTTTATCAAAGTCGTCTGTCTAGTAGCTTTCACTTTCTTGTTATCGGTTACATTAAAGACGTAACATGTGTTAACATTCTGAAAGATTTTTCAATTGTTTACGATTTCTGGTATTTTATCCTTGCTTACTCTATTTTTGTAATATTTATACGAACACTAGTATGGACGGTCCTGTTAATTTTAATTTCAACCAATAAAAAAATAGTAAGATACGGTCTCTCTCTAAGTGGTGTGTTCTGTGGTTATAGATGAATGTAAATCTATTGAAAAACCTTTATTTTGTTATATAACTCATCTTTGTCGTTGTTTATCTACAGAATGTGACAGTAGCGACTCCGGCCACCTGTACGAGTCGCTGGAGCCGGCGCCGGCGCAGCCTTCACGCGCAGCGCCCCTCCCTCCGCCCGCACCGCTCCACGACGACATCGACTCCTTCGACAGTGACTCCGACTTCGAGAACATTGACAAGGTGTGTAAATTCATACATCATTGTGTTCCCTCACGCTTGAGTGACCTTTTTTTTGACGATGAGAAATCCCTTGACGGACCGTACCGTACGCTGGCGAGGCGCACGGCGTGTGTGGGAGTCACCCGGTACCCTCCTACGCCCATGTGGGAGCGTCTCGCGATCGGCGCACCTCTGTTTGCGCCATTTCACCGGGACGCCCCCGGGCCGACCCGGCCCAACGAGTGGACCGGGCGACACACCTCTGGGGGATTGCGCACGCTTGACTGACCTAGTGGTTCTAGGGCAGAAAGGAGACCTCTTGAATACCCTAAGGATCTCGCTGATGCCCGACGACATCGGCTCCGATTTCATTTCATTTCATTCTGGTTGCGAGAACACTGACGGTGTGTCATCATCATCATTTATTAAAAGGCTGTCCCTACTGCTGGGACACAGGCCTTCCCTAAAGAAATAGGGAGACTGGACCACGACCCACCACGCGAGCCTAGTGCGGCTAATTACTGCAGATGCAGTCGGGACCAACGGCTTAACGTGCCTTGAGGAATTTTTGGTCACCCCTCCAATGAATCAAAGCAACTAACGCAGTGGACCGACCACTGCGTTAGTTTCTTTGGTTCAACGATTGCAACCGAACGCGCAAACCACTTGCGCCATCGAGCTCCTCGACAAGGTGTGTGTGCTTCCACATAATTCACAGATGACATCGGCTTTTTTGTGCACCTGTACTGTACGAATTGCTGGAACACAGTTTCTTCATTAGCTTGCGGTGTTCCCCATCTTTCTGTGGTCGGCGCAATATGTTATTCTTTATTTAGTGCCATCAGCCGTCTTCTCAACATTAACTCCTTTTTTTTCAATACAATATTTCATACAACAGTGTTGTGTCCAGGGTTTGAGACTTTGGGCAAACCTGCAGCTAAGACAGTGCGGTTTCTGGTGCATTCCTTACCCTGACGAGCTTAATAGAGCTTACTAGACTTAAAGTCCACCAAATCACAGCCACATTTGATTTGATTTCACTATCTTCAACTTTTGTAGGTCAGTCCGATTAATGTCAAAATCAACGTCTCGTTCAATTTATAATAAGTGTATGTTTTTTGCATGGTTAACTGCGACCGCATATTTGATCAAGACAATCCACTATTTACATTTTACGTCACATGCGACAGAATATTTAATTATTTTTTTTATATATCAAAGGTACTTGGAATGTAATAAAAAACATTATTTTTTAATTAAAAATGTTCTAAACACAGATACATAATTATAAGAGTGTCACGTATATCTTTGTATATTAATTGATAAACCTAATTTTATTTTATGTAAAATAAATTGAATATAGTTACCGCAATATTCCGGGTGAAAAAAAAAGGTTATCCCAAAAAATTACCTATTCTGGTTAAAACACTGCTTACTTTGCTTACTAGTGTTCTTGTATTATTTCTATGCTTTCAACATTTTATTCTCAAAATTGGAAGTATTAACTCTTTTTTTAATCTTAATGTATATAAATTACGCGTCACTTTGTAACTGATTTTTATCAAAATTTGGGCGATACAAAGTTTGCCGGGTCAGCTAATAAATAATAAGCGGTACTTTGTCAATAGTTTTTAGTATTATTTTTGCTGTTATTTTTATGTTCATAAGTTGTTAGCTGGCCTTAGACTATAAATAAATAATAAAATAACTGAAATCATTTGTCGTTCCCTTGCAGAGTGCGCAAGCGCCGCCGTTGCCAGCGTCCCGCCTGCCGTCGCCACCTAGCGGCGGGCAATACACGCTCACGAAGATCGCGAGCGCCGCCCAGCGGAAGATGCGTCAGATCAAGCGGAATCTCACCAAGCGATACAGCGGTACTTTAGCTCGTTGAGTTTTCTATGTGAAAAAAACTCATTTTAAGCCATGTTGGGGTTAAGTAACCCTTATTATCATACGAAAATAGGAAAAAATAATATTTAAGGGTTAATATATATATTTTATAATTTTGGGCCAAAGTTGGCCTTTAAGAGGGTTACTTTAGCTCCTTGAAATTTCTCTGTGAAAAAAACTCATTTTAAGCCATGTTGGGGTTAAGTAACCCTTATAACTGATCACCATTAGCATACTGAATACACAAATAGATGTTTTTGCCCAAAAATAATTAAATTAAATAAAAAATATAACTTTATATTTTTTATTTAACTTTATTTTTCTTTTTGAGAAAGTTTGCGCTTGAACTTGCGAACTATTTCAGTTACAAAAAATCCCGCGTTACAATGACAACTTGATACAGGAACGATGTCGGTAAAACAACACCACACTACGCGCCTATATGGCAATCTGTGATTTCCAACTGGAACTATTACGGTCACCCAAGAGATACAGATGGGGCGGCAAGTTCAATATTTTTTCTGATTTGGGACAAAGTTACCCGCCCGAGCTAAAGTAACCCTCACTTACGGAGCTCAACTTTTTATCTGGATGCTACATTATAATAAATCTGTAGAAACTTATTGTAAACAACCAAACAAATGCTATTCTTGGATGTGGATTACGTAAAATATTACAGAACAATTTTCTAGAAATTTCAGTAAATAATAAAAACAGAAATTCCGATACCGGGAATCGAACCCGAGCCTCCTGGGTGAGAGCCAGGTATCCTAGCCACTAGACCATATCGGATGTTACTCATGAGATTCAAATTAGCATTCTCATTTCATAGCCGTCGTTCATCCAATACTAATCAACCCAAAAAAGCAAAATTTTGATTAAATTTTAAACTTCTGATGATATCAATTTCTAATAGCTATCATTCAATATATACGAAAAAAAATTATGTATAGAAAATAAGCCAAAATGTTTTCCGATACCGGGAATCGAACCCGAGCCTCCTGGGTGAGAGCCAGGTATCCTAGCCACTAGACCATATCGGATATTGAAATCGTTTCTAGAATTTCCATTTACTTCTTTATCTATTAGAATTAGCAGAATATTTTTAAATTATTAATACCTTCCAATTTTATTGCTTCTTATAAAGTTTCATCATTCTAGAGCAACGGGAACTTCCATAATGATTATCTTGCAATACAAACTTTAATAAAAAAAAATCCAACACTCACCCCAATTAGCCTAGCCCCAAAGGGTGCGGCCAGAGTGCACTCAGATTCAGATTCAGATTCAGAAAGCAGGCTCGTGAGATGTCAGCTTGAGCAAAGCAGGTGATGGCCACAGTGGAGGCAGATTACAAGACGCGGACGCGAGCACTATTGCCAGGTTGGGGGGGAGTTACCCGAAATTTGGGGGGGTTTTAAAGCGAAATTTTGTTTTGGGCGAAACGGAAATTTTTTTTTATTACATTTTTATATAAAAATAAAACCACTTCATAAACTTTTAATCTGTACAAAGTCGCAATCGACAGTCATTCAACAGTCTCTCTTTCTCATTCGACGCGTACGGAGTCATAGAGTACATTGTTATATGTTCGTTGATCCAGAAACTTAAACATGGAATTTTCTAATGAAGATCTAGCGTGCTTGTTAATGGCTACTGATAGTTGTCATTATAAATTAAAACGCGAGAGAATCGGTGTTCACCAAATTAATAAATTAAGGAGTGAATATGGGGAATACCACCATTTGTTTCCCCAATTCAAAGATGATAGGAAACGTTTCTTCCAATATTTTAGGATGGAAGTGGAAACGTTCTACTACATTTTAAAAAAATGTGAACCTCAAATGATGAAGAATTGGTGTAATTTGCACAAACACAAGATTCTTCCAGAAGAACGCCTTGTTATAACCATTAGGTAAGAATTTATTACAATCTCACTAATCTGGATATGATGGGAACAGACTGTCCGGATTAACCGGAAAGCTGGGTCTGGATTCGCGAGGGTAGTGTAATTTGAATAATTTGTATGGTTTATAGTATATGTAGGAACAATCATTAATAATACAAAAAAATGCTATGTTAATGAAATTATTTTTAATGACAAATAACATTTTTTTTATTATATAATGAGTTTTGCATATCTATGTTAAACTTTAAAATTTTAAAGTAAATATTATCATAAAAAAATTATAAACATAGATAATGACTAATAATATAGCAGTTTTGTTTAATATAAGACTTTATATATGTTTGCTCTTAAGAACTTAAAATTTCAATCACAGCTTTTAATTTACAATTTACTATACTATCACAAATATTATATTTATATAATCCACTCAATTAGGGTACAAAATTATGGCGAACTATAAAAAGAAACAAAATTTTTTGGTTATTAAAAAACATTCATAACCTTGAAAATTGTATTTTTAAACTGTAATATTATTCAATGAGTACTTACATCGAATTGATCTTTGCAAAAAAAATGACTTTCAGTGGATAAAGTTACAGGATTTAGCAAGTTTTAAACATGTGTTCATGAAGTATGTTTTTTTCTCTTGGCAATTTAAACCACAACTTTTCTAGTCTTTTACCAAGTGTATCATGATAACTACTAAATTTTTCATGTGATCTATTAGAAATCATGGTTTTATAATATTAACTCGGAAAGTTTATTTCCTACGTGCTTGCGTGTGTTCGTTTACAAATGTTTTGACGTCATAGCATAGATAAGTCTATAGAATATACAGCGTTTTTGTATGTCTTGTAGGTAAAAAAAATACATTTTTTTTCGGTCTGATAGAACAATCATTAACATTTCAAAACATAATTGCAAAAAGTGTCAACTAGCCTATTTAACAACAATGTATCCTTGTCATTCTCTATAAAGAATGAAAAGGAGAGACTGATGTTAAATTTAGTTTTAAATTTAGAGAATCATGCCAGAATCGACATCCACCAGTGTCTGTGTCTGATAGTAAATGTCTACCACAGCATGGTTTACCATGCTGTGGTATGGTATAGTTGAAAGCATTTATGCTTCCAATGCAGCGACTTCTCCAAGAACTCTTTGTTCTATCGCCCGTTTTTAAAGAAATTGTATAATCAAAGACTCGTTTAATTCGGTTTCACCTAACTTCTTCATTTCACTCAGAAAAAAGTACGTAGATCTACGTACTTTTCATATGCAAAATTTACCAATTCTACGTAATTTTCTCATCGGGCCTACGCATTTTTCAAAATCCGAGTTGGCAACACTGCCGAGCGGCGCTGGTGAATTCAGAATCTGAATGACCTAAACATTCCGGTAAAGTGTCTGACTCCGAAACCTGCGCGGCCTGCTGCCACTATGGCCACCCTGCTTTAACTACACTGTTTATTTCTCGCGCTTGTTTTCGGAATCTGAATCTGAATCTGAATCTGAGTGCACTCTGGCCGTACCCAAAGTAAGCATTGTAGGCATGTGTTATGGGATACTAGGGTAACGGATAAATATATAATACATAAACAATAATTAGAAATACACACGTATTAAACATACATTACAGATGCTCGAATTCATCACACAATCATCTGCCAACACCGGGATTCGAACCCGCGACCTCTCGAATACTCTGCATACGAACCACTCGGCCACGGAGGTCGTCGAAGTTAAATATGCACCGACCCTGAAATTTTGTATAAACGGCCTTATATTTTGATGGCGTTGACATATAGTAAGAGTAGTATATACATAGTTAGGTACTGCCTTATCTATGAATTAGTAAACAAAAATTTTAATATTATGATAAAAATAAACTGAAATGTATTTAAACCCTAGTGCTCAAAAGACATACTTCTCGCAAGTTACTTTATTAATTTCTTCATTAAAAAAAGTTTTTGTACACCCAGCAAACTACATAGATTTTATTTACATTGACGACCTCCGTGGCCGAGTGGTTTGTTTCATGGTGTCGCTGACCCGAGAGGTCCCGGGTTCAAATTCCGGTGGGGGCAGATGTTTGTGTGATGAAAACGAGCATTTGTACTCCAGTCATAGGGGCCGTTCAAGTATTACGTAAGCAGATTTATTACAATTATTTACCCCCTCCTACCCCTCGGCAGCAAAAGTAAGCAAAGCTCTTACCCCTCCCCCCTTCATTACGTAAACATTGGTACCTATATGCATTTTGCCTTTAATGTATTCTGTTTTTTTATTGATTCATGAGCTTTCATGAGCTTCATGACCAGCAGTACTTAAAAAGGCTTAATCAATGATGCTGACGTAATCACCATCTCTTCCCCCCACCCCCCCAAACCAATATAAACAATCTTTAATGTTGAACAACAACAAGGAAACTCCTCATTTAAACGACCTTAGGTAATTTTTTTCGGAAAACTGAAACTAACATTCTGATATTTTGTCAACAGTTGCAATGGACGGCAAACCATTCAGCAAATCGCAGTCGAACGGCACCGTGTACGACGCACCAAAAGCGAAGGGTAAAAGCCCCATATACGCCAACTACGAGCCGCCTGAGATCCAGCACCCCTACAGTAACGTAAACTTTCCGGACCCGCGCCCCAATAAGACTGAGAAAACCGAAGCTGGTGCAAAAGTTAATGGGTTCAAAGAGGAATTGAAGACTGTCGTTGGAGAAAAGAGATTGAGCACCGGGGACATACCACCTCCTTTACCCGACAAAGTTGTTATAGAAACTCCGACTACTCCTACTGAGTGCAAGAAGGATAGCGGCACGTTGTCTCGGAAGGCGTATTTCTCCTTCAAGTCTCGATTCAGAAGAGCCACTTCGATGGCAGTGGACATTAATGCCGAAGTACCCAGCGCTCTGAAGATCACCAACTCGACGTTCTATTTGACGGACTCTATGGACGGTGATTCCGGATTTAGCAACTGGTGCGTGTTATTTTCTTATTATTTATTACTTTAACTAATCTATTATGGTTATAATTTTTTTTATAACACTTATGCTCGTAAAGGGTCTCTCATTGCAAAAATTTCACTATCATAATTCCTCTCATTTCATTATCATCATAATTCTCAACTTACCGCACTTATATCATAATGTACTATTATGCATCTATCTGCTAGATGTTAAAATCTAAAGAAAATTTTACTGGAAAAAAAATCCACGCGGACCAGGCAGCAGACGGGACTAATCTAATAAAGACTAATTTATTGTGGTATTGTGTAATATTTCAATGGATTCTATATCTTAACGTAACACAACTTTCTTTGATTGGACTTCAGTTTTTTTTTCTTGCGGAATATTCCACCGGGATAGAAAGCATTTTTGCGATCCATATTGCCTAGTTGGTTCACAAGGAGGTTATTTAATATTCTATTTGAATTTAATAACCTATTTAGCTTAGGGTACATAATTTTCTCAAAAGCATTCATATCATCTTCAGTTTCAAAATTCTACCATTCCCAGGCGCTCTCTATTTGTAAATAGTTAGTCCTAGTTCTGTACACTTAGCACGAACCAATATCGAATTCGTATAGTTCGCGAGTCCGAAATGTCATTGTCAAATCTGTACTGATTTTTAGTTTTCGTTACGTACTTTGTGGCGCTGCTGTTCAAGTTTCCATATAAAATTTAACATTGACATTTTGCCCTCGCAATCTATTCGAATTCGATAATGGTTTGTGCTAGGGGTACTGGATTTACTACTGTTATCAGTACCCAGTCACCAAAGGTTTCTAAAGATTGTTGTCTGTTATCAATAGATACCCATTTACTGTGAGTTTGGAATAGCAATTCTATACTAGATGTCTGCATGAATGACTCGTTTTGTACGGAACTATGACTTAATACAGCGGTGGGAACAATGATGCGAGTAACTGTTATAAAAAAAAACCCGAACCGCATTATTCCAAAACGCGTACTATAGTTAGTCTTGGTTTAAAACTAATGCTAAATCTTTGTCTTCTTTTAATCAAACTAAAGTGACAGGATCAGCTTCAAACCAGTTTTAACTTTCGTCATTGTTTTGTAATCACTAATATTATAAAGGCGAAAGTTTGTACATGTGTATGTTTGTTACTTCTTCACGGCTGGAGAGATTTTAATAAAACTTGGTATGGAGTTAGCTGATATCCTGGATTAACACATAGGCTACGTTTTACTGCGGGAAAATATCCCAAATAAACCGCGGGTAACACCGTGGGGCACAGCTAGTAAGACTATAAAAGTATATCTAACGCCGTATCGTGTTTGACAGCAGCGACAGCGGGCAAGCGGGCAGCACAGAAACTCTATCAGGCAGCGCTCGCAGACGCGACGGTACTCGTTTACGACCCACCTGGGCGGAATCCACGCCCTGTCTCTCTCCCTCTCCCTCCCCCGCGCTAGCGCCATCTCCCTCCCCCTCCCCCTCGCCCGCACCCCCCTTAATGCCCCTACAGAGGCCCCGCGCCCCGCCCCCGCCGCCTCCCGGGCCCGCGCCCCCGCAGACCGACCTTAGCGCTGTCAACGAAGGTACGTACAGACGTCAACTGGACTCACACAAACACAAGCATACAAACACACATGTACAGTGTTAATTTTAAAACACCAACAACCTCTTATGGGTTGATTCTACCCATCAACAGGAACTACTTTTATTATGGGACCAACGCTGAAATCGCGAAAACTGAATCTGTTTCATACATTTCGGTCGATTAGCTGATGCACTTTTGTATGAAACAGCAGATTTTTTTTCAGCGTTGGTCCCATAGTAAAAGTTGTTCCTGTTGATGGGTAGAATCACCCCCTAAGAGGTTGTTGGTGTTTTAAAATTAACCCTATACACTCAAATTGTAAACATATTCCGCTCGCAGAAAAATTTACTAAAGCGCTTTCTTAATCACAAATTCGCTTACAAAAGAGCTTTCTCTTTGCGATAATTGCGCCAAAAAGTGGCTTCATAAAAGGACAAACATTATATACACTCAAATGATAAGATAATCTTTTTGGTTTTCTACTATAACTTTGCGGGTATCAAGTTAGTGGTAAAAGTTAATCTTTAACACAAAATTGCTGACAAAACATAAGAATGCAGAACTGAGTCACGCGAAAGAGGGTACTGTCTTGCCGGAAGTAAGGAAAACAGCCCCACCACAACGATAGACGAAAAACCCTAGATACACCAACACAAACAAAATCGTGTCCGAAACCTGTCCAAAAGGAACATTGTACGCGAGCCACAGAGCTCTTTAAGGTGATCGTGTTGTCAAAAACAATATAAGGCATTATTTAAACATTGAAAGACACCTTTAATGCATACTGTATAAGGAATTAATTAAAACGCATGCGTCAAAAAGTTACGACAGTTCGAAATGCAAGCTCATAAAATTTTACGATTTATTGCTATATACGGAAGAATATAGACCTTATTTCTTTGACTCTACGCGCAATTCTGAATGCGCTATTAGCAATATAGCAGGTACGGACCGCGAGGAAAAGGGATGGCTATATAACCGACCATGCCTTTGAATATCACAAATATTTTCTATTATATCAGTTTATAGTTAGTATTAGAACAAAATTTGCTTTAAATAACATTGATTAGATACCTGTCGAAAACCGACACTACATACTAAAAGTATTTTTTTCGCATTTTTCACGGAGCTCTGCGGCAACTTGACTTTTTAACGGTCCACGCGTGACTGTAAACCAAGAACTCCAAGAAGTGCTTGAGTGTCATTCAAGCACTTCTTGATTGGGACACATTTTGAGCGCACGTGGTGTATCTAGGGTATTTAATATCGTTGCCCCACCATTATGATGCCGCAATTACATTTGGTCGCTAGCCCGTATTCGGCTGCATGATAAAGTGGAATTCCGGCACCCGAAGCAATATTTACACTAGAATACAGTACCCCTAGCATGAACCAATATCGAATTCGTATCGTTTGCGAGTCCGAAATGTCATTGTCAAATGTGTACTGATTTTTAGTTCTCGTTACGTACTTTGTGCCGCTGCTGTTCATGTTTCCATACAAAATTTGACATTGACATTTCGGTTTGCAAACTATTCGAATTCGATAATGGTTCGTGCTATACAGGCCAGATGACGGCGTCGAGTAAAGAAAAGGAAATCTACCCGAATACTTGACTCCGTTCACTTACACTTTGTCGTTTACCCAAATTCCATTGGCACTTGTATTCTTGCTAAAGACCCAGGGTAATCGCGCCATTACTCCGGCTAATGACAAAACTTTACCTTCTTCTAGTTTGATTTACAACAGTGGTGCCCAACTGGTATCTCGCGGGCACCTGGGGGCCATTCGCCTAACGCAAATGCTTTGGAAAAAACTAACGCTTTCGATTTTATTTTGTTTTCTGGCCGCCGAAGGTTTTCAAATACCTCACGCTCATTTTTTTTTAATATTATTATTACCAGTGTAAAAGAAAAAAAAGAGTGCGAGGCATTTGAAAACCTCAGATGTCTAGAAATAACAAAATGAAATCGTAAGCGTTAGCGTTTTCCAAAGCATTTGCGTTAGGCGAATGGCCCCCTGGTAGCCCGCGACCTGCATTCTAGGCGCCCGCGAACAATTTTGGTGTAATAAATTATATAAACAACAAATGATATAAATACGTTAGTAGGTCGTTATAAATTAGTTTCCTTTAATTCACTTATGTTTTTTTTATTAAGTTGGCGGTGCCCGCGTAGCGTATCAGGATTTTCAAAATAGCCCTTGAAGCAATACCACATGGTCACCACTGATTTACACTGTCATTCTAAACTTGTATGCTAGCATAAGCACTTTACATTGCTGTTAGTATTAGATATTTGTAACTTTGAAATCAGTATATCGTTATCATCTTTTTTTAAGGGTGAATAATAGAGACGTGTCAAATTTACTACAATATCAAATACAAATAGCCATGTAAAGTGCCAGGCCACCATTAGCAGTGATTTGATATTCCAGTCACAACATCACCTACAAAAAACCCTAAATAAGAGCTAATTATAGAATTTAGATTTATTTATGTGTGTATTAGGTATTCATCCATTATTTTACTAAGAAATGTTAATAAATTTAAAGAAGATTTGTCTTCTTAAGATTTTAAAATCTATTATATTATAATTAATCTAATAGAAAAGAAGAAGGTTATGCCAGTTCGAAGTTATAACACTAACAAACTGGATGTATTAGCGTTTATTAGTCCGTTTCCGTTTAAAATCAAGGTTTCCGTAACTCCACGGACCCCTTAGCATCAATAGAGTTTCAGGGGTCCAAAGTAGCTTAGTTAACCTTTAACATTTAATAAATAATGAGTAAGTTAATGTACTAACTAAAGGCTTGTTTCTTCTTCCTAACAATGTTTAGAATTTCGAACTTTTTAAATTCTGGTAGTACCTAAACCTTGTCTGCATAAAGTTTTAGGAACACTGAGGTAAACATAATTATAGTACTGATACACATACACAGATTACTGTGGTGATTACACATTGTGCTTTGAAAAACTCTCCTGATAAAAAAATAACAACATTGAAAAAGCTACCAAACGAATTTTAATCAACAGATTGTATTAAGATGCCAAAGCCCGTAGTGGTTGTGTGTAATGCCGCCATTTCAAATTTGGCATTTTGGCATTTATTTGGCTTTTCCTATTTGCTATTTGTAAACTTGAAAAAAAAACAGTCCTTATCAAGCTTTTTGACGTAATAACGTCTTAAAAATCGATGAACACCAGGCTGCACGCACGACAAAGTGTCACGTTCCGCCTGGACCTAAGCGTGTAAGCGAGAGCGCGGAACAAGCGATAGAGAGGCACGATCGGCGCAAGCGTTGGCTTGTACGCATTTTTCTCTCTTCTGGCGTGACGTCAGAGCTACCAATTATGCAATTTTTCATCAAAGTTTCTTTATGACGTTATCACGTAAAACTATCGCCCGTAAACAGGCAACCATTTTTTTAAGGAATGAAAAGAATGCTGATTTCATGTTTACGAATAGAAAATACAAATAGCCAAATGAATGCTGATGCTGGATTTAATACATAAAATTGCCAGAGGGTCAAAAGAGTGTGAGTTGAGGTCGGCGCGGCAAGGAGACGATGATGACGACTGAATCTCTATCACACCAGTTATTTTCACAACCGAGCATTTTATACATATACATACATAAAATTCACGTAGAGAATTTGGCTTTTGGATTATTTATGAAAACAAAATCCAAATAATGACCTCCTCTTGATACAGACCAATCAAAAACTATTTTTTTTAGCTTTCTATGTACCGACTATTTTTATGTGTTACGCTTTCATTACCGTAAAATCATCTTTGTGACTACAAATCCGATACGGAGTTCAGTTTGATCAGGTGCAGCTAACAGGTTTCACGGGAACTTTGGAGGCTAATTGATTTAGCTTAAACATTATAGCATCAAAATTTTGAGATATTAATTATAACTCGTTGATGAGCATACCCAGAGCTTCCACCAAAGATACTAGCTGGTATTATTGTTGATCGAAGATCTTCAATCATCAACCATATCTGATCGAAGACAGAGAATTCGACTTTATCAAATTCTCAATGATAACAAAACCTCAGAACACCAAATGATCAATGTTATATTTTTCACTATTCTTCCCACAGAACACAGAATGAGGTTACAAGGGTGATTATAGACCGTTTTTACGGGAACAGATGTCGCCTTCTCGCCTCCAATTCACTTCCACTTAATAGATGACAGCCAATCAAACGACGCAACATCAAACAATCGAACCAATTAGCGCTCACACCCGAGAGCAACGACGCAAACAACCAAGTTTTGGTCAAGTTATGAGAATTTGCTCACACATTACTGTAGCGCGCCTGTTCCGCCCACAAGTCTTCTTCCTCGTTAAACACCGATCGTTGGATTATTCTTGAGATTATTCTTCGTAGAGGATATTTCATAGGAACTTAAACATACCACTTAGTATTGAGACTTATTAAATCAAATCGCGTGACTGAACACACAATGAAAACGTTAACAATAACAAATCACATGCATAAAGAACTAGGTATCTAGCATAAAAAAATAATTACACTCGTTAAAAATGTAATTCTCTTTCACGTACATAGGTAGTTAGTAAATACGTATATCTTTAAATTGTACAATGATTATTTCAGTTGACGTCTGTCCGTATAATTTGTCACGTAATATAATAAAGTTAGATAAACTCTGTGTCGATGTCGCGGCTAATTGAAGACAGCGCTAAAACTGAGGTCAGTCGAACTGCGCGACCGCTTGGGAAAAACCAACTGTTCTTTATCTTCCTTAAATCACTCTGTAAACGGCCGATCGATGGGAAGATTTCCCAGACGGATAGAAATACATAATTTATTATTAAACATAATACTTAAATTTCTTGTTGATGTATCCGTCACGGGATGGTTTAGGTAGGTAGTACTTTAAAATTTGGTGCCCCAGGCCACTTACGATTGGCCTTCCCCCTCCCCCTCCCCAAAATTAGTAAATAAAATCAAAATATAGTTCGATAACGAATGCCTTTGTATGGCTTCTGCCGCTACTCATAGCTTGGCAGCCCCCCCAGGCTATTGATATCTTACGGCCCTGGGTAGGGTAAAATTTATGACACTACCCATACATCAACTTAGTATTCGTAAGATAAAGTTCTTTAATCATGTTCTTTAAACTTTATCATGTAGTATGATAAGGATTCGTGACGATATCCAATGGCTAATAGATTTTTCTTTAATTAGATACTCCTGGGTAGAAAACGAGTTTGTGGAGCGCTTTCTTTTGCATACAAATTACAAGGATGAATAACTAAATTAAACGAAAAATGGGGCTTTCATTAATCCGAGTAACGGAACGATAGTAGAACCTTTTCTTTATCACATTGTCGCTTACAAAGATATTGATGAAACACTGTATTCACGAGAAAGTGGGATGTCATTGATCGGCAATACAGCACAGCGTCGAAAACTGCGCGGAAACACAAGGAACCAGGTTTAAAGGCCCTAATTGAATATTTATATGATAAATTGAGTGTTTTGATATATTGATTACCGCATTTAACTTATCTCACATGAACCGACCTTATGAATTAGGTTTATTGCTCTTGCGATGTAATATGACCTCTTCTCTATTATTCCGAGAACTCGAAAGATATGACCTCCGAGATATCGATACTCAATTTTTGAGGTTTATTATTTTTGACAGAGAGAGAACAGTTGTTTTTCCCAAGCGGTGACAACAGTGGTTGTGGGTGCTTCAAATTATTATCTTACACCTATGATAATTAGTTTGCACTGCCTTTGTTATGTTGTCTTCTCAGTGTTCACTTCGAAAATGTCACTTAACTTGATCGGTTATGGTATTAAACTCTTTATGTTGCATCAAGGCTTAGTTGAAATAAATCGCCATTGTTAGCTCCATACAATAATGGAAAGCAATGTTAGTTAAACGCACACGTCATTCTGTCGGTAAGGCCGTTGGTTTCTCAGTACCAGTCTGGGATAGACGCGCAAAGCACGCGCGAGCGCATTAATACCTTTTCGTGCATCAAAGTTTTTTTTGTTCTTTTTTTTTGAGTGTTATGTGCCAATACCTTTATGCGTCGTGAGTTTAACGTCAACTTTAATGACTGTGTTAATACTGCATGGATCTTTATTTTAACAATTCCTTCTGTATTTTAATTTTCGGTTAATTCTTACGGTTAGCCCCATGTTTGTTGGTGTTTAATCAGTTTGAATTCACATTTTGTTTACTAATTGTGATGATTTCATAAATGTTAGACATATCAGACTGTTCTCGCAGCGACCCATTGTTAAATGTTTCACTGTGTTCACTCCTTGTGACGTCACTGCACGAGCATGTTTTGCAACAAACCACAACTCTTATTATTCTAATGGACCGGCAGCAACTTTATCAAGTTTTGTTTGGATATAACGCCGGCTGATCACTTAGCTATACGTGTTTGCTATTTGTAAACTTGACATCAGGCTGTCCTTATCATGCTCTACAAGGATTGAAAAGGACAGACTGATGTCATGTTTACAAATAGCAAACCCGAATAGCCAAGTGAAGTGGCGGCATCATAAATAAAAACTATTTTAGACCAATCCATAAATAATACCAATACCACCTTTTTATTATCTAAAACAAAACAAAACATTACAAATGATCGTTTATTCACTGCCCCAGAAGGTGCGAGGTTTTTTGCATGTCGCTCGCGTTATGTTAAAATTAACGCCATAGCATAAGGCCGTATACAGAAAGACAGCTGGAAGCCTACCAGCGACCCCGGATCAGATACGAAGATTGTCAAAGGATATGAACTAAAGTGCATTGGTTTTAGACATGCGCAAGGTAACTCAGGAACAGAAATGGAGTTACTCTATATCCTTCCAAAGAAAGATACCTATATATCCAGTTAGTATATATTTATCCGATTATTAAATCCGGCCTACTAGTCCAATTCATTCAATCCTTAACAAATCATGAGGTATATCCAGCTAACATTTCACATATACTTCCTGGATATAACTGCGTCGGGATATACACAAGTCTAATTTGCTTAGAACGCATTATAAATATAATGCAGAGCTAGCTAACCGTTAGTACCTGAGCGTATCAAGATCATACAAAGCCCATAATTAGATGACGTTGCACTAACACGACAATGTTTCCAATCCGATGGTTGGTTTGTAGTTTAAGCTCCACACGCGAGAGTAATAACATTTAATAAGGTTGCTGCCAGTTTCCATATTAGTACTTATCTCCTACCACTTTCAGGCGTTAGCAAGCTTGATACAAAGAGTTCAACAACGTTCCCCTTTCCTATTTCTCGGTGTCCTATTTCTTCCTTATCCATACTTCTTAAGACTTTATTATCCTATTTTTTTTCTCGGTGCCATATTTTTTCCTTATCCATACTTCTTAAGACTTTATTATCCTATTTTTTTTCTCGGTACCCTATTTCTTCGTTAGCAATACTTCGAGAGACTTTATTATCCTATTATTTTTCTCGGTGCCCTATTTCTTCCCTGTCCGTTGACTCAACATCTCAGCATAGCACTTCACTTCGTATTATTTTCGTTTTTTTCCTCCGTCTCAATATACCCCTCTGTGTCACATTATTATGAACTTTTCGTAACAGTCAATTAGGGTTTATAATATACACCACATTCTTTAAAGACAAGAAAACGCGCGCTTTTATTTCGTCGTCAACGCGTAATTTAAGATTGTTTCGTGTATGCACAAACTCCCATCTTATTTTCGATTATATTATAGACATAAACGCGCATTAGCATGTCTGTTCAGACTTGTGTTATGACCTTACAACCCACTCCGCCTTCCACCACTTATTCTTTTGCCAAAATTGCTATCACGTAGGTACAGATAACGGCAAAGTTCTTGAGCAAAACCACAGACAACTAAACTTGCGCAGTAGACGTTTTGGTATGTAAAATTGCTACTGCGCAGGCTTCCTTGTCTATGATCTTTGCTCAAGAATTTTCCCGGGTTGTACACTCTGTCTATTCTTTACTTATTGAATCGGAATTAAATGAAATATCGTCTGAAAGTGGTAAAGCGTAGAGCGGTATTTTCTTTGGTGTTAATGTGACATCTCGGTGTACAGAACTGAAGCGGCTGCTGCCGACGTTGTCGCGCAAGGAGAAGAGCCCGCGCACGCGCACCTCGTGGTACGCGGAGTGCGGCGCCGACACCGCCTCCATCGCCACATCCAATACTTCATGGTGAGTCCTGCAATAAAACTATCATCATCAGCCTATTAATGTTCCCACTGCTGGGGCACAGGCCTTCCCTATGGATGGAATAGGGAGATTGGGTCATGACCCACCACGCGGGCCCAGTGCGGATTGGTGGGTGCTAACGACTGCAGATGCAGCCGGGACCAACGGCTTAACGTGCCTTCCGAAGCACGGAGGAGCTCGAGATAGTAATTTTTGATCACCCATCCAATGACCGACCACTGCGAAAGTTGCTCAAGTTCAACGATCGCAACCGAACGCGCTAACCACTTGCGCCTTCGAGCTCCTCCTCTCCTAATAAAACTATACACACATATTACCAATGAATGAATTAACGATATATTTATTTGTTTTCTCTTTATCTTGTATGCATTTTTAATTCGATGAAACACGGATGTAGTCGTTGGTCGTATACTTATTTGATATCACACCTATTAAGGATATTCGTTATTTAGATGACCTAGTTTTAAGTATTATTTTAATTCGATAAACACAATTTCAAGATCGTTCCTACAGCTGCTTTTCAATATCTACCTACGCCACATTTGGCATTGCGCTCATCTAAGTTACGGTACCTAATGTGTGATAAGGTATAATTTTGTATAGGTACATACAAAATTATACCTTATCACACGTAACAAAAACATAGAATAATAATGTTGAATTATCTAGTTCTACAAGTTCAAGACGGAATATAAGGAAAAACATAGTCTAGTTGATATCCTTGCAAACCTTCAGTAGAGGTACACTCATAGTCACGTTAATGAGAGATGCATTTGATATTCATCAGCGTTTATATTTAGGTGTATTCGTGATTTCTGTATCTTCTTATTAGTGCAAATCAATCAAAGAAAATTGTGTTTATTTTTGAGAAATAAAAACAATGTATTTATATTGTAATTACTTCTCTGGTATAATAACAGATCGCAAATTGCTATTTAGCAATTTAAAGCCAAGGTTTATTTTAAGCCAAGGTAACCAATTCAGAAGTTTTCCTCAAATTAAGGGGTAAAACAAGATAGGTGGGCCTTAATTTGTAGGGGTATTTTTAAGGGTTCTAAAGTCATTCCTTTCTCAATTAATAAATTTAGAAAGGATGCCTTTGTTGCATAAAAAGTATATTTGTCGATACAAACCTTTACTCATCCAAAACATAGCTTCAAGTTTTTTTTTTGAGGGAAATTGGATATAAACTAGCTATAGATGAGTTTTGTCCTAGCCTTGTGGTCCGAATCTAATTTTATGATTACAAAAAGTACAACAATCGGCTCATCGCCATTATAAAATGAACAACAATTGAGGTCAGCCGCCCCCGTAACGTTCCATACTTGTTAATCTTACGTTATTTTGCGTAATGAATACACACCTACTTGCAGGTGTGATAAAAACCTTAGCAGACCAAGGAAGTCAGTTCGGATTAGCATAGAGCTTTATTGAATTATACAAAACACAACAAACACCAACACAACACTAGTTACTGTCTTATAATTATGGTAATATAAGCCATTTTCACGCCGGGAAATAGTGCTAAAGTTCCAGCTGTTACATAAGCGCTGGGTTACATAAAAAAGCTCCTACAATATAACTTATGCAGTTTTTCCAAACCTAGGTTAGATTTAATGCACCATAAGCAATTTCTGCAAAATCTTCTCTAATTTTTCTCGACTGGGCAAAATACAATGAATTATATTAACATATTAATAATTAAATTACAATAGCTTAAAACTAATTATTGTCTAAAAACTTAAAAAGAATTAACTACTTAAATAATATACAACCTACAAAATAAAAAATATGTCACCCCCTGCGCTGACGTCAGGAATGGTGCCCAATAGGCTGGCAGCATTTCCAGCAGCAGCAGTTGACCAATGTTGATGTTTACAGTCAAGCAGTTTGTAGTCTGTCTTACAAAACTTTTAGCAAGACTCACTTCTTGCGTGAAAAACGCATATTGCATGTTAAAAATTAGGCTGAAACCGTTCTACAGACACCATCTTTTTCGCTATAATAACTTTCTGTGCGGCTGTGGGTACACGAAGCCGTCACGTAAATCTGGGACGTGAGTCTCCAATTTTCCGAACAGCTCATTATAAAGCAATAAGAAACTTCGGCGCCCGTGACGCGGCTTCAATGCGCATCCAGTCAGCTAGTCGTTAGTCAGCATGGTGGCTGCGCAAACGCATGACGTTAACTTGGCCGCGGTCGCACCGCAGTCGTATCGCGCCGCGAACCGGTGACTCACGAAGCCAGTTTTCCAATAACCGACCGTTAGCTTTGCCGCAATTGATAAGTGCCAGCGACACAAATTCACGGTAAATTTAAATCACGAAATGTAACACTTAATATTGAACTTAATTTCTTTTCTCACCTTCAATGATCCATTAAGCCCGCCATTTGCAGCATTGCCATTAAATAAATATCATGCAAAATATACACTTTATAACATAAGCAAAATTTTCAGTTTTAGTAGATTTAAAAAACTTTAGCACACTTTGATCAGGTACATGTTCTACAAGGTTTCAACTGTGAATGTGTGATGATAATCTGCATACAATTATTTGTTATTTAATAGTCATTTAATGTTTATTTTTATTTTAAGTCAACGACATCCTCCCTTTTTCTATCACTTATCCCACACTTAATATCAATACAGGTATTTTACCATTTGGCGCGTGTGTACGGTATAAGAAGGACGGTATTATAATCCGCACTTTCAAATTCAGGACGTTTTGTTATTATTGAAATAATATTGTGATATTTGTTTTTAATTAATGATATTGTGTTCTGGAAGCTTAATCTAAAATCAATAAAAAAGTAAGAATAATCCTGTTAGTGACAAATGAGTGATGAATGAAAAATCAACGTGTGGAGATTCCTTGACGACTATAATTTTGCAGCACCGTTAAAACCTCGTTATTTCACTCTACAGTTAAGACGACAGTTTCAAGAATTATCTTCAGCAGAGTGAGTAATTGCTGCTTTTATGTATGATAGTTTCATTTAATTCCAACTTTCATGTAGCCCATAATGCCAACTTTCATAATTGCGTCAGTAAGGATACAAATTTAAAACTTTTGAAAACTGAGGTCAGTAATTCCAGCGGTCCTCCTAGGTTCGAATCCCGGTAGGGTCATTAATTTGCGTGGTGAGCAAGAATATGGTTCCCAAAACTTGGTTGTTTATTTACTTATAACTATATTTTATAAACGTTATTTAGTAAATAATATCAATCGTAAATAGTCCTGATATATTCATTTATCATTAACCCAATTAAGTTATGTAATTAACAAGTTGATTGAATTCTCACCAAGTATTCAATTAAGTAGTACTTCAAGTAGAATCCTTGGTAAAATTACTTTATTTTTAAACGTATTGATTTTAAAGACAATGACCTACTGCCCCACAAACTACTACTATTATTACTGGAATTCCATACATAACTTTGTCGTTCAGTCTTACGAGTCTTACTTAAGTTCGGGGTGGTCGCCGTCACTTTAGGGGTAAATAATTTTCGGAGTGGGTATCACTGTTATCGTTGAACTACTATTTTAAATAGGTAAAAAGACTTATCGTCGTTTATCCAAATGGTCGGTTTTATAAATGCCACATAGTATATATGATACATAATGCCAAAGACTAACACTAAATTAAATTAAGTAAACATTTATTTATTAAGACAACGGAATTCATTATAAAGATCAAAGGTTCACTTAAAAGATTATTTGATTTATTATAAAGCATACTTTAAGAGCTATTATTTTTGATCATTAATGTAAGAGTTGCATGTTATATAAAATTCTATCACAAATAGGTACTTCATCATCAGCCTATTAACGTCGCCGCTGCTGGGGCACAGGCCTTCCCTATGGATGGAATAGGGAGATTGGGCCATGACCCACCACGCGGACCCAGTGCGGATTAGCGGGTATAGCTACTTATGATACCCAAAATCTGTAAAAAATACAATGACTTGTCAGTTTATTATATTTATTTATTGCAATGAATAAAGTGTGGGTAGAACGCATCACAATATGAAGTTTAGACGATGTTGGCCTTTAACAAAGTCACGAATTACAAGTTAACGTAGGAGCTGTTTTATTAAGCATTTAGTACCTAATATTTATTCACGGTTAAAAATATGTACTAGGTACTTACCCAATGAGGGTTATCGCGTATGAATCTGCCGCTAGAGGCGCTTGTGTAGCGTGGGGTCTCCGAAATGACAATCATTATTGCTTGTGGGTTGACTTGACTACGCGGGTTTATTTATTGTCAAAATGATGTTGCGAATATTTAGTAATAACTGCGATTAACTATACCAAATATGAGTTACGTGTCCATGAATGTTAATTTAAAAGCGGAGCAAAAAAAAATATTTCTTTTTTTTTTAATAAAACGGGATTGCGTTACACTGTGGTATGTCCGATTACGTTTACGATACGGTTGTTTTGTATTTAAATATGATTTAAATTTAAACTATGATTTCACGCGCGAATCAAAAAACTTTAAAAGCCACACTTCAGGACCTCACTCAACAGTGGCGCCATCTGATGAAATAAAAAACGGTAGCCCTCATTTAAATAGTCTCATTCAACAACTATGATACACTCAGTGCCGTCTTTGACCTATTGAAGACCCTGGGCATATTAGGATAATGGCGCCCCTATGACTTTCGCTTGGTGATTTAACAGGAACTAGGGACTTTGTATTTGATCTGAGGGCGATCAATAGGGGGCCCTATTGATCGCGGGGCCCTGGGCACTTGCCCAAAGTGCCCACTGGGAAAGACGGGTCTGGATACACAGTCCAAAATTTATAGCCAGTTTTACTTGTGGCTATGTAGATATATCTAGTCTTTAAATACCTATCTACAACAATTCATTAATCTGGATTTAATTTGAAGTAAATTTTTAAACTACTACAGGAATCATGACTCACTTTATAGGATAAACAATTAGGCATTCATAATAAATATGTTATCGGCTAAACTGTGGTAGAATATACACATTGGGTGATTAAGACAAAGCTGGATAAAAAATTTAATACAAACATTTCAAGGTCTTATCAATTATTAGAAAGAATATTATTGGAATATTGAAATCAATATACTAACGACGATCTTGGTAGAGTTCTAGCTAAATCTGTGTATAGCATCCATCGGTAACTCTAAACAGAACCGATCAGTTCTATGTAATATATTTACCTAAGTATATCTTATATATTTTTTATATATCTAAGTTATTTCTTCATCTGAGATTTTGGCTTTTATCACTGTTTGGGGGCTCTTGGCCGCCTTAAACCGGCCCTGATCTGAATAGTGGTGACAACGCCTCTAGCCGGTAATACTGTCCATGACCCTTTTATATAATTACATAGTAAAAAAGACCCAGAAACCGCTTTGGTGTGGTGGTATGTGTGGCTAAAATAATAAAATCTGAATTAGTTAGCTCCACCGAATAATACTAAATTATGCATTCTCCCCCAGGTACGCGGAAGCCGGACTGACTCCAGCAGGCCACGTGTCGTCATCATCCGGCGCCTCGTCGGGCTCGCACCCCGCCTCGCCGCTGCCTCGCTCGCTGTTCACGCACGAACCCTTGTACCAATTCTACAACGCCGCTAAAGTTGAGGTAAGTAAGCACAATAATCTCCCCCAGCTACGCGGAGGCCGGACTGACTAAACAGCTACGTGTCGTCATCGGGCGCTTCTTCAGGCTTTCACCCTGCCTCGCCACTGCCCCTCTCGCTGCTCACGCACGAACCCCTGTAGCAGTTCTACAATGCCGCTAAAGTTGAGGTAAGTAAGCACAACATTCCCCCCAACTACGCGGAGGCTGGACTGACTCCAACAGGCCACGTGTCATCATTATCTGGCGCCTCTTCAGGCTTGCATCCTGCCTCGCCACTGCCGCTCACGCTGCTCACGCACGAACCCCTGTAGCAGTTCTACAACGCCGGTAAAGTTGAGTTAAGTAAGCACAACATTCTCCCCCAGCTACGTGGAGGCTGGACTGACTCCAGCAGGCCACGTGTCATCATAATCGGGCGCCTCTTCAAGCTTGCACCCTGCCTCGCCACTGCTCCGCTGGCTGCTCACGCACGTACCCCTGTAGCAGTTCTACAACGCCGCTAAGGTCGAGGGAAGTAAGCACAACATTCTTCCCCAGCTACGTGGAGGCCGAACTAACTCCAGCAGGCCACGTGTCACCATCATCGGGCGCCTCTTCAGGCTTGCTCCCTGCCTCGCCACTACTCCGCTCGCTGCTCACGCACAAACCCCTGTAGCAGTTCTACAATGCCGTTAAAGTTGAGGTAACGTAGCAATTCATCAGTCTATTACTGTCCCCACTGCCGGGGCACAGGCTTTCCCTATGGATGGAATAGGGAGATTGGGTCATGACCCACCACGCGGGCTCAGGGCTGTTTGGTAGGGGCTAACGATTGCAGATGCAGCCGCGACCAGCGGCTTTACGTGCCTTTCGAAGCACGGAGGAGTTCGAGATAGTAAATTTTTGGTCACCCATCCAATGAGCGACCACTGTGAAAGTTGCTTAACTTTAACGATCGCAGCCGAAACGCGCTAACCATTTGCGCCATCGAGCATAGAAAAGAATCACAACAAGGAAAGCACAACCGTAAGGAAACGCAACAATGCGTTTATTCCTTTCTGTTGGTCTAGAATAGAAAATAATATAAAATAAATCGGATTGTTAAAAATAATTCTAAAATTAAGAACTTTATTGTGCATTGCCTCTCCTCTCTTGCGGAATTATTTACACTCGTACTTTGCACTGAGTTTAAGATTAGCCATAATAAAAGAAACACTAAGTTTATGCGTTTTATTACTGAGAATTAGAGACCTCATCACTTGCTGGATAAAATTAATCATCGCAATATGTGTGGTGAATTCAGGGAAGTCCGGTAATTTATAAAAAAAGTGTAAACAAGTGTAGTACTAAAAAAAGGTTAGGTCAGGAATATTTTTACGCTACAATTAGGTAATTTATCTCTATCAAGTTAAGGTTTACAATAGCCCAAATATTTAAGATAAACTCAGTACATATTAAAAAAAACCATATGGTTACAGCTTATTTTCTTTTGCGTGGGTTTTCATCACTCCTTTACGTGTTCCTATACTTATAAAGACAAACGATTTGATTGTTTGTTTGTATTGAATAGGCACCGAAACTACTAGAGCGATTTAAATAATTCTTTCACATATAGTCCTACATTATCCATGATGAACATAGGCAATACAGCGTTTTCAAAAAAGTTAGAGTTCCGTATGGAAACTTTGATAGTGTAACCAAATGTGTGTCAAAATACCAAAAAAATATCTTATGTCACATATGCTTCGGAAGTAATATGTATAATAGAAGCGTGAAAACAATAACTATAGTCTACACCGAAGCGAAGCGAGGGCGGGCCATTAGTATTACATAATCACAAACTAAAATCATTAATCAAATAGTTGCTAAATCTTAGTTTCCCAAAGGCCAAAAGATAAGATTTAAGTGGACATTTCACCTGATTTAAACGCTTCTGGGGAAGTTACCACCACTTTAGAGATAATTACAGTAAAATAACACTACCCTTTGATGGTGCTGTGTTTCTAATGGATGAGTTAAGATTTGTCCATTGTTCCACGGGGTATATCATAGAATTAGGGTAGGCAACGGAGCTCGATGGCGCAAGTGGTTAGCGCTTTCCGCTGCGATCGTTGAATTTAAGCAACTTTCGCAGTGGTCGGTCATTGGATGGGTGACCGAAAATTTACTATCTCGAGCTCCTCCGTGCTTCGGAAGGCACGTTAAGCCGTTGGTCCCGGCTGCATCTGCAGTCGTTAGCACCTACCAACCCACACTGGGCCTGCGTGGTGGGTCTCGGCCCAATCTCCCTATTCCATCCATAGGGAAGGCCTGTGCCCCAGCAGTGGGGACATTAATAGGCTGATGATGTGAAGGTTCAACGGCTCCACAAGGTAAGGGATTGGGTCAGAGTCGACAACGGCACGAATGATATTTTTAAAGTGAAACTTATTTACGCACGCTAGACTTGGGAGTAAGCTGGCGAATGCATTATGCGTTACGAAAAGTGTGTTCGGGCGAGGCGAACGGGAGTTGAGTGAGGGATATAAGCAGGAGAAAGCATTGCGCGCGCACATTAATGTCCATTAATAGGCTGATGATGAGGCAACAGCGCGAGTGATACTTTCCTTCTTACAGCTTAACTTTCCACTTCACATTTAATATTTTCCACCGCCAAAACGACACAGAGTAAGGAAGTAAACAAGCTGCGCTTATCTCACAGCTTGTATTCGTTGGATAATTGCTCGTTTTAGTCGCAGTACTATTAATTAGGTATAATTGGCGCGACCTCCGGCGACCCTGGGTTAATTGTTTATATAGACTGTTATCAATGTTAGTGTTTTAGGAGCGATCCTAAAATACTCGGCGCTTACGTAACATTTTTTTAAGCATTGATAGTATCATTTACTTCCTTATAATCTTGTAATTTGATCATACGGGTAATGTTAAATGAAGATTATCTGCCAATCGTGCGTATTGCACAAATTTTTCCTTCAACCTCATATCTCTATTTCGGTCATAATTAAATTTGTCATAATTTAATTTATGCAATATCAAATGATTCCTAAATATTGTTGCCACTAACTTAGTGTGACCAATATTCCTACACGAACAAAGAAATTTGGTGACTCATTTCTTTGTCGTACGGTTCGTAAATGGAATTCTTTGCCCGCGCACGTATTCCCTCCTTCATATAATCTGGGGTCCTTTAAACACAAACTCTAGGCTATCTTTGCTACAAGTGCGTAGTGAAGCCAATGTGGACATACGGACTGCAGCTGTGCGGCACTGCCTCTGCTTCAAACATACAAATAATACAACGGTTTCAATCTAAAACGTTGCGTATTATTTGCTGATGCTCCGTGGTACATAACAAATAATCAATTACACAAAGACTTAGGAGTAGGTACCAAATGTCAAACAAGAAATAGAAGAAGTAGTCAAACGTTATAGTTCACGCCTCAAATCACATCCTAATGATATGGCATCATGCCTCATTAGCATTAACGACTGTTTCAAGAGGCTTCGGCGGAGGGCGCCTCTTAGCCTCATCGATGCACAGAACAGCCTTGCAAACACACGTGGTAGAGGAGTCAATGGATTTCTCCCCTGATAATTAGAAGGAAGAAGTTCATCACAATTCCAGACAAAAGTTGTAGAACAGAACGCTGGAAAAAAATAGAAAAAAAATATTTGCTGCAATGTTGGCCACCGTGTAGAGCAGGCATAAGACGAACGTTTTTCCTTCAATGACAACCGCGTCGCGGGCGGGTTTGCCCAACAATGGGCGATTGTTTCCAGACACGCTCAGTAACTCTGTCAACGCAAGAACTGCGTACCGATAAATACGGCAGAACAATCTCTTTCATTACAATAATTACGGGTTTCGTTCTTAGAAGGCAAAAAGATGCCCTTGAAAGTGTTTTCTTTATTCTTTTACTAGACTTTGTTCGCGATTTCTTACGCGTGTAATATAGTATCATCCCTATAACGGGAAAAGATATGAAAATTCTTGAAAAATTACAGCGTTGTTTGAAAATACTCTCCAAGCTTAAAACTATCGTGCTTGAGCCTCTGTATGCTGAAGTCATGGAACCTGTATGGTAATTTATGAATGGCCCCTATACTCTATTCACGAGGAACTGTGCCATTGAGCTCCTACATTAAAAGATACCTCTTGTTTAAATCTGAAGAAAATTTACTAGAAAAAAATCCACGCAGTCAAGGCAGCAGATGGGACTCGAACTCGCAACCTCCGCTATCCAAGCGGATGCACTGACCAATTATGTTACCGCGACTTTTAATGACCGTGTCGAATTTCTTCTACTATTCTTAGGCTGAATAGTAGAAGAAATTCGACACGGTCAGACAAACTATATGTACCTTTACAAGTACTAAACATTCGAAACAAGAGATAGCGATTGTAGATTATTATATTTTTGATTTTTTAGCAACATTTTTCTAAACTTCTAGGTATTAAATGCTTAAATAAAACTAGTTTTAACGGGTTAATGCACGAACTTTATTTATTTATTGACGTTTCGCAGCCGTTTCAGGTCTGCATCGTCAGAATAATGATTTTTTATTTACTTTGTCGAGCTACCTTCGAAAGACTTTTATTGAGCGTTCGGATATTTCATTGGAAGATTTTTAAAACCTTATTGTCTATGTATGAATTTATTAGTTAATTTAGTTAATAAAGTACTTTATTTAAAATTCTTTTTTGTAATTTTGAATTTATTTATATGAAAAGGCTGCGAAACGTCAATAAATAAATAAAGTTCGTGCATTAACCCGTTAAAACTAGTTTTATTAAATGAGTGATGTGCGTCAAAACCTAAGAAACAAATATGTTAAATGCTTTAAATAAATAAAGATATACATAATTATGATGCCTCTTGTGTTTTCGTCCCACAGTCAGTTTGCCGGGAAACGGGCGACTCGGACTCGGACACGTACGAGAGTAGCGCGGGCGCAGACAGCAGCCAGCAGGAGACGCCCGCGCCGCGCCCCTCCGCGATGACACTAGTGGCGCCCCGCGGCCCCGCCCGCACTCTTTGGTGCGAGGTGCCGGAAGTGCTGGCATCAGCTGTCCTCAGTAAGTAACTCTAACAAGGCCTGATTCATGGCGGGGCAGAAAAGAAAAAATTAAGTTTCGTAATCGGACCGGGATTTGTATATAGAGCCCCCCCCCCGGCTCTTACCTTCGTTGCACCAGGACCTCCACTCCTAAATCCGGTCCTGATTACTTTCTTAATGAATTTTTTGGTTATTTTTAAGTATAAGTGCACATAGCACTGATGAAATGCATGAATAAATATTCTTCTGTTCTAGTAAAAAAAATCTTTTGATGTCAAGCTGGTTAATGTTTGAATAAAAATATTATAAAAAGTATTTTTTATGTGACTGAAACGAATGGCAGTGATAAAACCTTAATCTAATTCGGGATTTCCTGTGTCCAGTAATATTTTTTTGATAATGCAAAGGCAGCTATTCAGGATAGTTGACAAAGAGCAGGACAATATTTATCCTGCCGTCTGGCCTTAAGCTGGGTTCAAACCTTAGGCTTACCTTTGTTCCTCTACTAAGATGATGAATACAAAAATGAATCAAGAATTATAGAAGCAAATACTATATATGTATTGTTGTAAACTTTCATGGTCACTAACATTATAGTTATTAGCGGAATTGCTACCATATATGTACCTAGTTTTTTGTGTGTCCCCGATATTTCGGCACTGTTACAAGCGTCATGATCCCCGACATTTCGGAGACTCACAAAAAACAAGATACTTGGTAGAAATAACTATGTACGAGTATAAAGCAAATACTATATAATTATGTTTTTATTTTTTTAAGCATTTAACTGCTAGATGTTTAATTTAAATCTTGAAAAAGTGTTCATTTGACATTGTGGGTTACCTACAATACGAAGAGATGGCGCTGCCTTGCAGCTTAAGTCTAGGAAAATTTCGACGCGGCCGTGGTAGCATAATTGGTCAGTGCATTCGCCCGGATTGCGAAGGGTGCATGTTCGAGTCCCGTCCGTTACCTGGTCCGCGTGGATTTTTTTCTAGTAAAACTATTCTTTAAATACTATATAGTTATCTATTATTCAGTATGTACAGTACAAGCTTTGCTTAAATTGGCAGGTTGCTTAGACTTAACTATTAAACTTAATTGTAATTTATGTATGTTACTGTGATTGCTACCATGCATCTTGTTTTAGCTATTTTCCGATATTTCGGCACTATTGCACGCGGCATGATCACGGAATAACTGAAGTAATTGATTGGCATATATATCGGCTGAAATATCGGAAACTCGCTAAAAACAAAGTTCATGGTAGCAATCCCGTAAATAACGTAAATTACTATAACTTTTGTGAGCATGAAAGTTTAAAACCATATATGTATCATTAAACGTCAACTATTCGGAACAATATATTTTCCAAAAATAAAACAGTAGGTACTTATTTTTTTGTATTTTTTAAGCATTTAACTGATAGATGTTTAAATCCAAAGAAAATTTAACTAGAAAAAAATCGAAAAGGTTCGAGTCCCGTCTGCTGGCTGGTTCGCGTGGAAGTTTCGAAATATCGGAAACTCGCTAAAAACAAGGTACATGGTAGCAATCCCGTAAATAACTTATATTACTATAATGTTAGTGACCATGAAAGTTTAAAACAATATATAATAGGGATATGCTGTGAATGTTATGTTATGTTATGTGCTAGATGTTTAAATCTAAAGAAAATTTATCTAGAAAAAAATCGAAAGGGTTCGAGTCCCGTCGGCTGGCTGGTCCGCGTGGATTTTTTTCTAGTAAAATTTTCTTCAGGCGGTACTTCTTATGAAATGTAATTCGCAGGTTCTCTAGCTCCGGCGCAGAAGCGTCTCCAAGAGGCAAAGTTCGAGTTGCTCACTTCAGAAGCGTCATACCTCAACTCTTTGAACGTACTGGAGACACACTTCATCGCGCACCCCGCCTTCCGGGACCCCCTCGTGCTGCCCAGGGAGGATTGGGAAACTCTGTTCTCTACCATCTTACCAGGTACCTTTTTTATGGTAAATTTTTTTGAAGTTATACTTCTTTAGGCGCGTTATGAAAAAATGATGAGAGTGAAATTTTTAGATGCGCGCGCATCACTGTAACCCAAAAGTAACAGCATGAAGATGGCCGCGGGCGCGTTATGAAAAAATCATGTGAGTGAAATTTCGAGATGCGCGCGCATCACTGTAACACAATAGTAACACCATGAAGTTGGCCGCGGGCGCGTTATGAATGTTAGTGTCTATTGTCTAATCCACCATTATTAGACATCTGTTCGAAAGGTACTTTGAACGATCCACGGAGCTCCATAAGATGAATTTTATTGTAATTATTAATTATTTGCATGCAATTAAAAAATATTTTTAATGATGCTAAAGAAGTATAACTTCTCACGCGCGTACATAAGTTACACGCATCCATTTTTTTTGATGTGTAACATCTTTCCTCTCGCTTTCAAGCAATTTGTGGGAGTGATTACGTGAAGTGGGGTGGAAGTGTGTAACAGGAAGTGTGGGAAGCGCGCGCTATTTGATTTGATTTTAGAACATAATGTTCAAATGGCTTATTCCTTTTGTAGTAGGTTTTATTTCTTTTTTTTTACTAATATAAGGTGAGGTTTCAAATGTTACACATCATACGCGACTACTGTAAGGATCGCTTGTATTATTTTAGCATTTAACTGCTAGATGTTTAAATCGTGCAGTGCTTCCGTCTGATAACAGAGGGAGCAGGTTCGAGTCCTGTCTGCTTCCTTGTCCGCTTGGATTTTTTTCTAGTAAAATAATATTTTGATTTTTTTATGTAAAAAGGGTGTCAAATAAGCATATGGCTCACCCCGCCTGATGATCGGCCATCATAGCCTATAGATAGAGGCTTGCGACACAAAAAAAACGAGTGTGCTTATGACCACACGACTGAAGTCAAACTTCTTTAGCTCCATCTGTATGTATATATGTGTGTACAATATATACATGTATGTACATATACATACAGTAAAATCCGTTTAAGACGATTTCACAGGGACTCAACCAAAACCGCGTCTTAAGCGGGAAAGCGAATTAAGCGGGATTGCGGGATAGGGAAAGTTCGAATGTAGGTATTGAGGTATTAAATATAGGTACAATATTTAAGAATTATGTACGTTATATAAAAAATAGTGTATTATTATTACGTTTGTATTAAATTAATTAAAAAATAATCACTTATTTTAGTTTGACAAAAAGATTTTGAGGCATTAGCAATTACAAAATTTTCACATAAATTAACATTTGCTTTGATTCAAAGAATTTACATAGCTTCTTAAATTATTAACTACTGATAATGCCCGGGCGTGTGACAAAATCGGAGTTGATTCATCTTCTTCTCGATCATTATCACTTAGGGCCTTGTGTGTTCTTCACATTCTCGATAAAATCTAGAATTGATTAAATTTGGTACGGTGCCACATTTTCATCAATGGAAGAATATCCAGGAAAACCCTGCGGATCGCTTAGCGTGCGTCGCTCGACAGTCGTCACGGCAATCGCTGGCCGCGCCCGCAAGAGGTAATATGTGTGGTACATATTGGCGATTTAGGCGTATTAAACGGGTTCTACTGTACTTCATTTACTAGTTATAAGAGAAAGAGAAAGAATGAAGAAAGAAGAAGAAACGGAAAATGTGCGCTGAACTCCCGTTCAACTCGCCCGAACACACTTTTCGTAACGCGTAAAGCATTCGCCAGCTTACCCCCCAAGTAAAGCGTGCGTAAAGAAGTTTCACTTCAAAAAGTCCTTGAACCTTACTCACCGACATATACACAACAACACCAAAAGATAGTGTTATTTTACTGTGGTATTCTATAATGTGGATCTTGACTTATAAGTATAATTTTTTTAAAGATTTTCTATCTGATTCTTTAAAGAATTTAAGAATTGCAGGAGATATCGCTTCCCCAATATCGATTAACTTCGAAAAAGGTTTAGACTGTTTTTATGTAGCTGTATGTTTTGTCCCCAGTACGTAAATGCTCCCAACTCCTCATGAACGAGCTGGAGAAGTGCTGGCAAGAAAGTATTCTGCTTCAAGGCATCTGCGACATAGTGAGGAAACACGCGGAGGAACACTTCGGAGTGTACGTCAAGTACTGCGAGAACCAAGCGCTGATGGTCAAAGCGCTGCAGCGGCTAAGGGAGCGGCCTGCTTTTGCTGCAGCGCTGAAAAGGTGAGTTATTATGATTTGTTATGCCATGTATTCAGTGAGAAACAATTGTTTATAAACACTGTTTCATAAACAAAATCTACGTGTTTCTGAAACATGTGAAACTGTTGCGGTAAACACTACGCGTTTCTGTGCTCCCCGACCGGAGCGGAGAGCACGAAAACAAATGAGTTTCGCATCGTAAATATTTAAATTGAATCAACTGAGATGTGGATGGATGTCCAAGTTACAGAAAAAATATTAAAAATATGACTTCTTATTCACTAAAAAAACTTATTTGAACAAAATTAGCTTTTGAAGAAATTTATACATTTGTTTCATGACGTTTTTCTATTATCCAATAACCCGCAAGTATATCTTTAACTAGCGGCCGCCCGCGAATTCGTCCGCGTTTACTTTAGTTTTTTGAGAATCCCATAGAAACCTATCAATTGTGCGAGATAAAAAGTACCCAATATCTCAATCCAGCTCATCAACTATTAGCATATCAAATTTTATCCAAAGCCGTTCAGTGATTTTATGTGATTGAGAAAGGAACATACAAACTTTCACATTGATAATTTTAGTAGGATTTTCATGTTTCACTTTTGATCTGACCAGACTGGAGAGCCACCCGGCATGTCAGAGCCTGTCCCTCCACTCGTTCCTGATGCTGCCGATGCAGCGCGTGACCCGCCTGCCTCTACTGCTGGACGCGGTACTGCGCCATCTACCGACGCGGGACCAGGAGTATGAAGCCTGCGCCTGCGCACTGGCCACGCTCAACCACGTGCGTAATACATCATTGTATATCTGTCCGTCACTCTCAACCACGTGCGTTAATGTCACTATACAGGGTGTTAAAATTCCTTTAACGAAGTCGAAGGCCACGTATTTTCCACATCATGACGATCATTTTTTTCTTCTGGACCATACCTGGGAAATTTATGGTTATGGAGATATTGAAGGTCAAATTCACAATATTTTTTTCAAGATGAATGTAAAACATTTATATTTTCAAAACAATCTTTAGAAACTTTTTTAATGGACGCACTTACACATACGCACACATATACACACAGACACATTCTTTACGTAGCGCGTCGTGCTATAAATTGCGTAATGGAAAAGAAAATAAGTTAAAAATACAAATTGATTCCCACATATAATAGTTTGTTATATTACTTTGGGTGTACAGAGTGCGTAGTTTAAGTCTTTGTCATAGGTTTTTTTACATCCTGTATATCTATACCTTACTCTCATCAGCGTGCATTATACATCACTATATCTGTGCCTCACTCGGGCCTGATGTAGACCAGGTAAATTTTTATCAATATAAATATAAGTATTTAAAGCTTTGTAATCATTTTGGGAACCATTTGTTATTGAGACTTCAATGACTGTACTATGAGACGAGATGGCGCTGCCTTGCAGCTTAAGAAACACTAGAAGAAATTCGACTAGGCCGTGAAGGTCTTGGTAGCAGGTCGGTTAGTGTTCCCCGCGGGCAGCATGTCGGTTAGTGAACGGTGCTGGTTCGAATCCAGTCTGATAATTAAAAAAAGTGGAATATTGTCTAGTAAAATGATTATTAGGTTAAGAAATAAAGCAGTTTAATCATCAATAATAAGTAGATTCACAATCGCGCTCAAAAAGTGTCAGTAACAAAATTATACACATTCGTCTCTTGTCCGTAATTTAAAAACAGCCGTGTTTAAAAATTCTTGCTAATATACAATTGATATTGAACTTTACTGCCACGACATAACGTGTTATTTTTTTTTTATTTATTTATTTGATAGTTTTACCAACAATTGTAACACTTAAGCAATTACAATTATAGACAAGGAGACAATTAATTATAGAGTTATAAATGTGTTACAGTTATCTTTATAAGTTGACGTGAAACGCCGCTCGAACGTTTTTTGTTGCTCTTTACCTAGGCGATTAGGACTCTACTTGTTTTATACGTCAATGTGTTTAATACTTAAAATTGTATAATCTAAAGATTTGTGTTCTCTTTGCTACAGTTCGTATCGCAGTGCAACGAAGGCGCTCGCAACACGGAACGCGTGGAGGAAATGTTCCGATTGGCACACGCGATAGAATTCCCCGCGCACGTGCGCAACCCGCCGCTACTGGGGCCCGCCTGCTCGCGCCGCGACAAAAGGTGCGTGTATTACTCGCTCAGCGAGTGTCGCGGCAACGAGGCGCTCGCGCCAAGGAGCGCGGGAAGGAAATGTTCCGATTGGCAATAGGGTTACCATTTAGGAATTTCAAATGACCTGACAAAAATCCTGAAATTTTGAAAAAGGTCCGGCCTTTTTAGTCACAAAATGGTACCATTACTCACTTAGTTACAATGGTATGGTATTTTAATCAATATGTACTTTTATTCAAATGTATTTTTTTTTAATTTTTACTGTAATTCATATTCAATTTAATTTAAAAATACCGGATAAAATCCGGACTATAATCTAAAAATACGGACATGTCCTAATCGGACTAATCCGGACGGATTAGTGGACCCTACATGCGATAGAATTCCCCGCGCACGTGCGACGCTACTGGGGCCCGCCTGCTCGCGCCGCGACAAAAGGTGCGTAATATTACTCGCTGAGCGAGTGTCGCTGCAACAAGAGCTCACAACATGGAACGCGACGAGGAAATGTTCCACCGCTACTGGGGCTCGCCTGCTCGCGCCGCGACAAGAGGTGCGTATATAATTCGCTGAGCGAGTGTCGCGGCAACGAGGCGCTCGCAACATGTAACGCGACGAGGAAATGTTCCACCGTTACTGGGGCCCGCCTGCTCGCGCCGCGACAAGAGGTGCTTATATAATTCGCTGAGCGAGTGTCGCGGCAACGAGGTGCTCGCAACACAGAGCGCGGCTAGGAAATGTTCCTATTGGCACACACTATTGAGTTAGTTTATACACCCCAAATTACCCAGAGAAACGTTTCAACGGCATATCCGAATACAGAATTTTTATTTCGTTTTTTTACTGAAATACACAACAGGATGATATACAATGACTTTTAAAGGAATCCATAAACACTAATAAATGACGTAAGATCGTTCGATCGATCGGCAAAAAGTTGTCAAATACTATTATTGTAAGTAGCTTTGTCATGCCTTCTTACCCGTGTGATCAAACTGATATATCCAAAAAATTTTAACAATTTATTCTACAAAAAAAACAGTCGAAGTACCGGGTTGGATGGAAAAGAAATTTTTCAAAATAATAATAAATAAATATTTCCAACACTCGCACCAATTAGCTTAGCCCCAAAGTAAGCACTGTAAGGCTTGTGTTATGGGATACTAGGGTAACGGATAGAATAAATATAAAGTACATATTATATAAGTACATTTATATGGAAATACATATTAAACATCCATGACTAAGAGTACAAATGCTCGTATTCATTACACAAACATCTGCCCCCCCCCCCCCCCCGGCATTCGAACCCGGGACCCGCGACACCATGAAACCCGGCGTACAAACCGCTCGGCCACGGAGGTCGTCAAATAAAATGATTGTTTGTCGTCAGGCCGGTGCGATGGTTAGTACGATCGGGCGAGATGACGCAGCTGGTGTGGAAGGCGGATGAGCTAAAGCTAACGTTCGGCCGCAAGTACCACAAGGTGCCGCTGCATCTGTTCCTGTTCAACGATCTCCTCGTCATCACCAAGAAGAAGAGGTGAGAATAAACAATACGCTTACTTATTATATTTTCATTTTGTTAGCATTCTACTGGTAGATGTTAAAAGCGAAAGAAATTTTTACTAGAAACAAATCCATGCAGTCCAGGCTGCAGTCGGGACTCGAACCCGCACCCTCCGCTATCCGAGCGCATCCACTGACCAATTATGTTACCGCCACCTTAAAATCAAGCCACTTGAGGCACTTAACGCGACCCGACCTCACCAATCGGCCTATTCGCAAACTTTTTTGAGAGACTCATTTAGAGTGTGTAACTGAAGAGAAAATTTCATATCCATCGATATTTTTCGGAACAAGTATCTTAGTGGCGTTATAATTTGCTTGCTGTTATGCTGTGGTTTTCTTTTTTGCTACTTTTACTGATTTTTGATTTGTAACATCTTTCCTCTCGCTTTCCTGCAATTTTTTAGTGATTTCGTGAAATGTGACGGAAGTGTATAACAGGAAGTCGCGAAAGCGCGCGCTGTAGAACATAATGTTCAAATGGCTTATTACGAATTCGAATATTGTTTTTGTGCACAGTTATTGCAGCCTGAGTGGATTTTTTTGTAGTAAAATAGCAGATGGCGCTTGTTCGAATCCAGCCTTCACTGGTGTCGATTCTGGTATGATTCTCTAAAGTTAAACTTAAATTTGACAAGAGTGTATCTTTGTCATTCTCTATACAGAATGAAAACGTGATACTGATGTTCAATTTAGTTTTAAGTTTAGAGAATCACGCCAGAATCGACACCATTGAGTGATTTCTTTGTCGTAAAATTGTCACTACACTTTTTTTTAACTATGGTGTTGTTTATGTCCAGCGACGAGAGTTACGTAGCGGTGGACCATTGCCCCCGCTCGCTGCTAGAAGTATGCGGCGGTGAGGCAGCCGCCCGGCACACGCTGCTCGTCACTTTACTGGAGAACCACGAGGGCCGGACCATAGAAATGGTGGGTACTGACCATGTACATTGCAATCAGGATCTTTATGAATGTGGCGAAAATTTGAACTAACGCCGCCGTCTTTGTAAACGTCATATGTTGTATGTCATTTACGTAGACAGGGGCGCCCTCCCTGAAACATAGATTTGATTCAACTACAGTAAAATCTGTTTATTATGACTCCACCTATATTGACCAACCGATTATTATGACGTCATAGGGTATTTGACAGTATTAAAAATAAAGTGCCAATTGTTAGCATCTGTGTTCAGAATGAATATTGGCAGGGGTTTTTACTATTTTTACAAAAAAAAAATATTCATAATTTTACTAAAAACCCACGAAATAGATAGTAGTTTTCTTATCTATTGCCACGTGACCCAAAACGCTTGGGATTGGCGGAGCCTAAAATGACGTCACACGCAAGTGAACCTCCGGTTAAAGTGACATTACATTGTATCGTTTGACATTTATTGTGTATTGCGCAGGTGATGTCGTGTGCGAGCGAGACAGACCTATCCCGCTGGACAGAGGCGCTGGTCCCGCCGATGGGCGAGGCCGGCGAGGCGGTGTACGCGGGCTGGGACTGTCCGCAAGTGGCCGCACTATACGCATACCACGCCGCGCAACCCGATGAACTATCGCTGGCTGAGGGAGACGTCGTCAACGTCACTAGGAAGACGAGCGAGGGTGAGTGGGAATAGATCTTTTAGGTCGAAGTGACTACGGTACCACTGGGACTGCATAGCAAAGCCACTAAAATATGAAATGGGAGTGAGTGGGGGTGGCAGAGCAGCGGGGGTGCTCCACACTCTACTGAGGCCGCTTTTAGCGCGCAGCCTGACGAACTATCGCTGGCTGAGGGAGACGTCATCAACGTCACTAGGAAGACGAGCGAGGTTGAGTGGGAGTAGATCTTTGAGGTCGAAGTGACTACGGTACCACTGGGATTCCATATTATAGCCACAAAAATGTGGAATGAGGGCGAGTGGGGGTGGCAGAGCGACGGGGGTGCGCCACTGCGCGGGGGTTTCTACTGGGGCCGCTTTTAGCGCGCAGCCTGACGAATTTTCGCTGGCTGAGGGAGACGTCGTCAACGTCACTAGGAAGACGAGCTAGGGTGAGTGGGAATAGATCTTTAAGGTCGAAGTGACTACGGTACCATTGGGATTCAATATTATAGCCACAAAAATGTGGAATGAGGGCGAGTGGGGGTGGCAGAGCGACGGGGGTGCGCCACTGCGCGGGGGTTCTACTGGGGCCGCTTTTATTAGTTAATTTTCGCTGGCTGAGGGAGACGTCGTCAACGTAACTAGGAAGACGAGCGAGGGTAAGTGGGAATAGATCTTTGAGGCCGAAGTGACTACGGTACCATTGGGATTCAATATTATAGCCACAAAAATGTGGAATGAGGGCGAGTGGGGGTGGCAGAGCGACGGGGGTGCGCCACTGCGCGGGGGTTCTACTGGGGCCGCTTTTATTCGTTAATTTTCGCTGGCTGAGGGAGACGTCGTCAACGTAACTAGGAAGACGAGCGAGGGTGAGTGGGAATAGATCTTTGAGGTCGAAGTGACTACGATACCACTGGAATTCCATATTATAGCCACAAAAATGTGGAATAAGGGCGAGTGGGGGTGGCAGAGCGACGGGGGTGCGCCACTGCGCGGGGGTTTCTACTGGGGCCGCTTTTAGCGCGCAGCCTGACGAATTTTCGCTGGCTGAGGGAGACGTCGTCCACGTAACTAGGAAGACGAGCCAGGGTGAGTGGGAATAGATCTTTGAGGTCGAAGTGACTACGGTACCATTGGGATTCAATATTATAGCCACAAAAATGTGGAATGAGGGCGAGTGGGGGTGGCAGAGCGACGGGGATGCGCCACTGCGCGGGGGTTCTACTGGGGCCGCTTTTATTCGTTAATTTTCGCTGGCTGAGGGAGACGTCGTCAAGGTCACTAGGAAGTCGAGCGAGGGTGGGTGGGAATAGATCTTTTAGGTCGCAGCAACTACGGTTCCACTGGGTCTGCATAGCATAGCCATAGTGAGTGGGGGTGGCAGATGTTTCATATGTATTTCTATATAAATATACTTATATGTATGTACAGTATATGTATTCTATCCGTTACCCTAGCATCCCATAACACAAGCCTTATAGTGCTTACTTTGGGACTAGGCTAATTGGTGTAAGTGTTGGAAATATTTATTGATGTGTAACATCTTTCCTCTCACTTTCGTGCAATTTGTGGGAGTGATTACGTGAAGTGGGACGGAAGTGTGTAACAGGATGTCGCGAAAGCGCGCGCTATTTGATTTGATTTTAAAACATAATGTTCCAATGGCTTATTCCTTTTGTAGTAGTTTTTTTCTCTTTTTTTACTAATATAAGGTGAGGTTTCAAATGTTACACATCATACGCGACTACTGTAAGGCTCGCTCGTTTTTTTCATTGAGTTTTTCTCTCAACAGGCTGGTACTACGGCGAGCGTACTCGCGACGGCGAAAGCGGTTGGTTCCCAGGCGCTTACACCGCTGAGATTGCATCCGCTCACGTGCGCGCGCGCAATTTGAGGCAACGCTATCGACTGCTCGCGCTATCCGGCACTTATCTAGGGCAGAAGAGAAAACCGCTCACTTGAATTTCGGAACTGAAGCTAAATGAACGATATTTGGATATATCACCTCTTGAATGACTTTGTTTTTAACAAAAAATTTTAATGTGGATAGAAGAAAGTTAAAATGCGTTTTATGGAAATAAAGCTGAACCAATGATATTTGGATATAACACCCGTTGAATGTAGGATAAGATCGTTTATAGTTTGTCGTCAACAAGCAATGTGGATAGAGGAAGATTAACGCGTTTTCTTTCAGCTCACTCGTTATGTCACATTGGCAATAATATTATTAAATCAAAACGAATAATGGTGAAAAGAAATGTCCTACTTTGGCAAACATTTTGCACTTGTGTGTCTCGATTGTGAAGTAGTGTTGTTAATCTTAAATCGAAAATATTTCTTAGATTTGAATGTTGAAACCATTCAAAAGTAAATAAAAATATCATGGTTAAGATTTTTTAACTTATTTTTTTTAATTGAGATGCTGATTCCTACAACATAGGTGTCAATTTTGGCGTGTTTCTCTAAACCTAAAACTAAATTTGACAACAGTGCGTCCATGTCCTTCTCTGTACAGGATGAAAAGGAGAGATTGGTGTTAATTTTACTTTCTGGCATGATTCCCTAAAGCTAAACTTAAATTTGACAACAGTGCATCCTTGTCCTTCTCTATACAGGATGAAAAGGTGAGACTGATGTTAAATTTAGTTTTAAGTTTAGAGAAACACGCCAGAATCGACACCATTGTCATTTATTCCGCGTTATTCATACATTCCACGCGTCAAAAAAATAACCATACGACCATTGAAATAAAGTCGATTATCCGAGTTTAGATTAGATACACTTAGCAATGATCAAAGTTGTGGTGTTTTAACTTGCACGTCGTTTTGTATACTTGCCGCACTCGTTGGTATTACATCACACGGTTGTCCGTCCAAGACACTGCCTTAATTTAGTACCTATAAAGAGTTATATGTAGAAGTATTTTCGGACCAATTTTATGAATTCCAATGGTGCACCGACATTATTGTTACGCAAATCTATAGGGTGCTTTAGCTGATTACTAATTAGTCGACCTGTATCGTATTACACACTCTCAAAGAGTCTTTTTTTATAATTATAATAAGTAAATATATTTAATAATTGTTAATATGAAATGTACAGTTACGCATGAGATTCACCGTATAATTTTGTACAGAGTATTTCAAAATATGAACTTTCTGATTAGTTCTTAAGTTATTACGATTGTATCACGATATTTTTATGTAATTTACTTATTGCTGCATTGTATAGGCTGGCCGCGAGCTGAAATTAACTAGTCATAAAAGCGATGCCAGCTTTATTATTAATAATTCGTTTTGATCAATGACATCACAATTGATTTTAATAACATTCCGACATTTGAAGTAGCGTTTGTATGGTTTCTAAATATCCAATGTATTGCTTATTCCATACAATGGAAAGTTGTTCGTTCTAATCCAATGTATTGCCATCTATTGGCCAATTTTAGAAACAAAAATGTTATAAAACTATCATCAGCTATGTATGTACTTACCTAATAAATTATTGTTTGTATATAGAATTATTTGCATGTTATAGTCGACAAGACTTATTTATAGATAAGTAATGAATAATTTACAATACATTATTTGAATAAATAAATAAATTTATTTCAAAATGTGGTTTTAATTATTTTATTAACTTAAGGTAACGTTACTTGTATAAAAATAATAAACGATGTTTCTATAACAGGTAGGTAGTTGTAAACGTCACATAAAAAATATTCTTTTTTTTACTTAACCGTGTAAAGTGCAGAGAAAAAATCTGATAAGGTATAAAATTCTTTATTTGTGTACTTGGAACTGTTATTATGGATGTGTACCTTTTTAAGTACATCAACGCCATAGTAAACAAAGATTAAGTTATGTCATCCATCAACAGAACAGAAGAATAAAATCAATATAAAAGTCTTAATATAAAAACAACAGTAAAAAGCGAATAAATAAAAAAATATTTATAAAATGCACTTAAGAATTAATCAGATCCTGGAAATGTAAATTCGAAAAATTAATATAATTAGAAGGGTAACAGATGTGATTGTGCATGCTAAGCCGAATGTATATTTATTACTTAAAGCAAGCCCTATTATACAACTATACTTATTATCTCTAAATGTCTCAAAAATTGTACAAAAACATCAAAATAGATCACAAACTTATTCAATAAAATGGTTTAAGGACCTTGTGTGCTCTTCTAAGTACCCACTATTTTGAGATATTCGTAACAGCCAACTTAATTAGTGTACATGTGAATAAATTTTATAGATTTAATTAAATTCTATCACCAAACATAGTATGCGCTAACTGGCATACTGATTTATTAGCACTTTAGCCATACCGAGATAAGATTGTGTGATATAGGTAGCAGCAAACTTCTTGAGCAAAACCACAGAGAAATTAACTTGCGCAGTAGACGCTTTTGTATGTAAAATTGGTACTGCGCAGGCTTCCTTGTCTATGGACGATATTTAAGAAGTTTGCCAGGGTGTATAACACCATCTAAAGTAAATGAAATTTTTAAATATTAATAAAGTTCTTCAACAAATTAGGTAATAAACAAATAACACTACATACATAGTTTAGTATTCTCACTGTAGCATCGCCAACACCTTACTCAAAATGAGGCAAAATGAACCTGGCTGTACATAAGTAGTAATAGATCAGTATCTCGTTAAAAGTGCATACTTTGTCCGTAAATAGATCACATTATAAAATATAAATAAAATCTATTAAAAATTATGAAGTTATTATTATTAATGTCAAAATATAAATGCAATATAAATTCCAACTTGACATCAACTACTTTTTCCACACTGAGGGCCAATTCACACTGGAATGGCAACAACTCAACGAGTGCTTTCACTGTGAAATTATTTTGAACTTTATCTTGCAACTTCTTCAAGCTTTTCAAGCAATAGTGGTCTTTTACATTATATATAATTTAAATATAAAAAAAGTGAATTATTTGCCGAGTCGCTACCACTCCAATGTGAATCAGCCCTAATGGTGATTAGATAAGATGCTGAACTAAAATCAATGTACTAATGTAAGAGGTTAATTAATGTTATGCAAAAGGAACATTTCAACTGAGCGATGATTGCAATCGTTTTACCAATTAATTGCAGTAAGAGTTTATGATATGACCCTTCACTTTACATTTCCATTCTTTAGAGAGAAATAACAAGATATAATATGGAATGAATTCAGTCATATATAACAATTTGTGACACCAATTTGTTGATTACCTACACTTTAGGCCATCCTTAATAAATTACCTACATTAGAGTAGTGACGCTTTTTTAATCTTCATTTAAATAAACAAAAGTCTTTAAGGCAATTTTACTATCCTAAATGGATAAATTATTAAGGATAGCTAACAAATATTTTACCCATATTTACTTAAGGCAATCAAATTCTCGTCTTCGAAGAGTTGTCCTTAACTTCAAAAAGTTTTCTTACAAAATACACCTGCAGTGTTGCTGTGGCAGCTATTGCTAATATTTGTATGAAGGACCATCTGAAAAAAAAACAATAATAACATTTATTATACAATGCTAATTTAAATAAATAAAATTCCCTAGAGCTTGTTCTGGACTTCTTTAAGGTATAGACATTAAACTACAAATATTTAAAGAATAGCAATAACATAAAATGTTATCTCATAATAATTTTATGAATGCCAAGAATTGCATCCAAGTTTGATAAGAAGAATGTTATTTTGATTTTATTTTAAGCATTTAACTGCTAGGTAAATCTAAAGAAAATTATCCATATTCAGTCGCTTTTTATATGAAACTTGGACTAAGTGCAGTGTCTTCTAGTGAAATTTTCTTTAGATCTAAAAATGCGATACAAAATCAGTACGCAAGAATGAATACCAACCTGAGTACATATGTATTATTGTCCATTAATAAGTTGTAATCCCGAGATTCTCTTGCTCGAGAGTGATACTGATATTGTAGTATATCATTGATATTACGCTCCACAAATTGTATAGAACTCTGAAAAGATGTTAAACAAAAAACTATTAAAAATACATAATACTTGAAAAGCTAAATTCTTGATATCCAACCCTGCTCTGAAAGGAAATAGCCATACAAACATTCTACATAGGTACAACCAAGGATGATTTCTTACTATGATAAAAGGGCTCATTCATTTCAAATGAAAAGTGAGGTAAATAAATTATTCACTAAGCCACATGGGAACCACAGTATCAAAAGAATTAAAAATATCTTTCTTACTTACAGTAAAGTTTTTAATATTCATGTCGAGCTCTTCCACCTCTTTGGCGTATTTTTCCCACATGTCGTATCTGATCACGGAGAGGTAAAGGTTGACAAGCTTGCCCGCGAAACGTGAAAACTGGTTATCGATACACACTGCATAGTAGCCTCCCGACGAGGTCTGGTCTGCGTACTCCGCACTCTGCCGCCACTCGTAGGGGTGCACAATCTGACCGTTCGGGTGCCGCACCGCAAACCCGCACATGCCATCACCACCTTTCAATACCTACAAAATAGAAAGTTACGTTGAGTACCCAAACTTTTGTACTTTCTAAATCTAACCAGGGAAACAAGTGAATCAATCGATTCTGTTACTTTATAACACACATTAAACTATAAATATAAACACTAATAAGCATAATGGTTGTAATTAAATAATAAATGTATAAATTACCTGATAACTTGCGTAAAATGTAGCACCCGGTTGGACATATTGAAAGTAACAATCTTCTTTTCCGGCATCTATGTGAACTTTATAGTCCATAGTCACAGCAGGTAGGTTTTCATACCATGGTGCCGCTGATGTTGAAAAAACATCACCAACTAGTGATAAAACTGTAAATAAAAATGTTATCACTGTAAACATATGCCACGTCTGTCGGGACATTTTTTCGAACGATGATGACAGATTGACATTGTGGATTGACGTATTTGGCGTGCAAGAAACAGAGAAATAAAGTTTTTTATATTTATGGTTTAAGTACTGTTCTTTTAAGCCATGTTTAAAGGGTTGCCCGCTTTCCGTTACTGTCGCCGTGAAAGTTATTTATGTGATTGTCATATATAATTTTTATGATGAATACTATGAATTCTTTTCTATTTATGAAAATGCCACATGATATCGCAATGTTAGTCAATCGTTGTAAACTTGACAACAGTCTGTCCTTGGTTGCTTTCCAATAGGCTTGTTGAAAATATATCGATGTATCAATATATCGATATTTTTTGTTCGATATATCGATATTTTTTGCCGATATATTTTGATTCGATATATCGATACATCGATATAAAATAACCAATATCGAAATTCGTGTCAAAAACGATATTTTTTTAATTATTAGCGGCATAATCACGATCTAACTAAATTCGTATCTGGAAAAATCGTAACTGGATCTCAGATTAATGATATTCAACATATCTATGATCTGTGCTGTATTTAGTATTGTCTATTTCATCATTCGAAAATAGGGTCTATTTTTAGGGAGATAATTTTCGTTCCATTATTATTGAAAATTGGTCCGATATATCGATATATCGATGTTTTTTTCGCCATATATCGAAGCCGATATTGATATTTTTTCAAATATCAATGTATCGATATATCGATATTTTTTTCAACTTTCGACATCCCTACTTTCCAACTACAGAGCATAATGCGACTCAGTGCCGCACAATGCCCAATTATGCTGATGCTTAATTGGAACGTGAATTAGTTTTCAAATGCACCAGCAGAGTGCGCTAAGTTCAGTGTTGAAAAAAAAAAAGTCAATGTTTGTACCTTCATCCATACTTATATTTATTTTTTAACACTTTGAATGAACTTTGATTATTTAAAAAAAACTATTTAATGAAACGAAAGCTTTAATAATTTTTCAACAATAAATAATATTACTAACGATAACATATAAATAAAACAATTCGATCAATGCCAACATAAAGAAAAAACACTTGTTAATTTTCTTTCTCTAAGTTGGTACCATTGCACGCATCACACGAAAGCATCACTTTTGAGTTTTTGAAAGTGCTCAATTGTGCGAAGCGTTGCTGTAGTTGGAACATGGACTGGTGTCAAGTTTACAAAAAGCAACACGCTATAGCCAAGTGCAGTGCCGGCATAAATAATATAACCTCACTTTTTAGTCGAAGATTTGTAAATAAACAAATTTTATTCTCTGTTTCAGTAATTGCATAGGGAATTGGGAAACAAATTATATTCATATTGAAGTAGCGTAAAACGTGTTTGTTAATAATATACGATTAAAAATACAATGAAAGCTAGATATCTTACTTTCTTTTCGTATATAGGTACTCATTTTAGGTTAGCACTTTTTTATTTGGTTTCACATACACCAGTCCCTAAATATTATTTAATACGTAACCCAAAATATTTACTAAACTGCAGATCCTCAGAAAAGATATGGATGAAGACTGGGTCCAATTATACTGACATTAATAGTGTACAAGGTACTATAGAAGCTGCTCTATTGAAACTGAGATCGATCAACTACCCCAACGTTCATTTATCCAGCCGGTAAGGAATTGCTATTATTATGTCGAAATAATTGAAAAAAAGAGAGACGTGTCTCACTTTCGTAGTAAACTCAATTGACTCAATGTGTGTCAATACACACTCACCGTTCTCTGTTCTATACTTTTCCTGCCATCTTCTCCCCCTTGTCTTAAGCAGTGTTTCTCTTTTCTATTCTCTTCTTCTCAACTCTCGCTGCGATCCTCTTCTAACCTTCTTCTTGAAATTCCCTGTCACTCTTGTGACTTCGTTTTTATTCCTTTTCTGTGCACGGTGCTCGGCTATGGAATTATCTCCCTGAAGGAATCAGAAAGGCTTGTGACTTAATATCTTTAGTGATCAAGTTATAAGATATGTCCTTTCCGTTTCTTAAATTCATTTAGCATACCATTTCTTTACTTCTCTTGAATATTTATATAAGTATTTACTTTTGCATCCTTCTATATTTATATATCTTATTATTCCTTTTTCACCATAGGTTGCTTGTAAGAGATTGCTGTTTAGCAATAAGGCCACCTATTGTACTCTTTCTTCTGTTGTATTTGTTTATCTCTTGTTTCCTTTGTTGTGTGCAATAAAGAATATTTATTATTATTACTATAGTATTTGCTTTCTGTAGTACAGATGGTGGTGTGCATGCATTGTGTGCAACGGCTCATTTCGACCTGGACAGATATGGCACAAAGATTTATGAACCATATAATATTTCATATCAACTAAACAAGTTCTTCACCAAAACTGATACAAGCATATCTATTAAGAAATGTCTACTTGTTCCTGACAACTTTGATGCTAGACGGAAAGCTTTATCCAGGACGTACTTGTATCGGTAATATACTCCATTCCAAATAAATAATAACATTTTAGATTCTGTTTTAGAAAATAAATTCATATTTATTTTACAGATTTGCATTTTTAAGAGAGAGTGTTGAAATTCCTGAGAATACATCTATAGCTTCTTACATACCAATTGAGGAATGGAGGAGGTGCTTATTTTTAAGGTGATATTTAAAAATCATGTAGTTTTTATAATTGCATGGATATTAGTTCATTTCTCTGTGGTTTTGCTCAAGTAGTGTGTTACTCATATATTGCTTGCGTGGACAATAATTGTCTACCATTATTGGACAGCATGCTATCAATACACAGCATGTTGTAACATATTCATAGAGACCAATTGTACCCTATCTAGTAAGTAAAACTGGGCAGAAAAGTGGGTGTGGAGAATAGACCCTCGAAGCAATAGTGCGGCCAAAAAATGGTACATAAGAATTGGCAGTAAAATATTGTCACTTAAGAGAGGTCCCGGGGTATGCCCGGCTGGGCAGCTGCCCCCTGCCCCTCCCCTTCGCTATCACAGCAAGTCTTAGAGCATTTACCAATTTTAGATGCTCTAAGGGGCAGATGCACTTGACTGCTATGCTACCGGGATATCTTTGATCCTACGCTTTTCGCATCCCGTAGATGTCGCCTCACTTAATGTTGTCAGTTCACCGGTGAGAGGTCTACGGACACTGCGCTTCCCGGTGCAAACTCACCATTGCAGCACGTCCATCGGTTCGCCGAACTATGTATCCCGCCCATCGATTTACTCATTTCCGATTTAACCACGCAGGGAAACACCGGGCATAGCTCTCTCCATCGTTCGCTATGCGACTCTGAGCCTAGTTATTTGTGCTTGGGGTACTGCTCTATTTTGTTGTGTAATTGACACCGAGAGGGCCGCATCTGGGTCGCATCGCAACGCAAAACTCCGCTTGCTATACATTTTGAATGAAACTGCGTTGATTAGAGGCGGGCGTGTTGGGCCGCGACGGAATCTGTCAGCGCATCGCTCGGCGAGTGTATTTTTCCGTCGATGCGACCGACCCAGCCCGACTCGCTCTGCCTCCAGTGGACGCATGGAGCGCAGCATTTGTTGAGTGATTTGTTGTAGAAAGTTGTAGCCAGCGGACGTATGTATTTTCGTATAAAAATATCAAATAACTACTTATATCGTTAGTTTAACAATAATCCGAATTATTTGATACTGGCGATAGTAAGTATTATGATGATGAAAGAAAATGAATTTGGACTGAAATATGAAATATTATCTACTTTTCTTGAAGATAATTGTGTACCCAAACTTTCTGCTTGCGACGTTTATTATTTTCTTGCTCCTCATCCGGCAACATTAATTAAACATAATCCTCACCACATCCTCCTCATCGGAACTATCCACTATAACACGAAGAAAATGTTTTTTTTTTAAACTTTTCTTACTCAACTCAAATGTTGTTGATACACTAAAGGGAGTCTGATCAGTGAGTGCGTTAGTGTAGAAATGTGAAGGTATTGTTTTTTTTTGCAGCGAAAGTGTGTGTGTATCTGTGTCTATGTATAATTATGTGAATGTGTATCGTATGTATAGGTATGTGAGTGTGTATATGTATTAATAATGTCTTTCTACATTAAAAAACTCCTTGGAGTTGCTTGTTTGTTCATTGTTTGTATATTGTATTTTTATTTTTATGTTTTCATGGGTGTTACTTAATTTATCCGTTGTCATATAAATTAATCATCTCCGATGTACACTTACTATTTTTAAATTAAGGGAAACCTGTAATTGGCCATACTTACCTGTAAAATACTATCTGGTATCTGTTGATGTATACGCTGTTGGTTTTCTTAATAAAATAAAACTATCAGATCAAAAACCTCCGTGGCCGAGTGGTTTGTACGCCGGGTTTATCAAGGTGTCGCCTACTCGAGAGGTCCTGTGTTCGAATCCCGGTGGGGGCTGATGTTCATGTGATGAATAGGAGCATTTGTACTCCAGTCATAGATGTTTAATATGTATTTCTATATAAATATATTTATATATATATATTCTATCCTTTACCCTAGTATCCCATAACACAAGCCTACAGAGCTTACTTTGTGGCTAGACTTATTGGTGTGTATTGGTAATATTTATTATTATTATCTATCAGATTGAAGAACTTTGATGTGGAAAGTTTGAAAGAAGGAGCAAAGTATCTGGTTGGCTACCACGACTTCACGACATTTAAGAAGTTTAATAAACCAAAGGAGACACATAACTACAAGCACAACAGGCGGGAACTGCTCTCCGTAACAGTACGAGCCGGCTCTCCGCTCGTGACGCGACACACGCGGGACCACGGCAATGATATCTTCGATTACTGGGAAGTGGAGTTTAAAGGAAAAGCGTTTGTTCACAATCAGGCAAGTTTGTAACACATTTCATTCAACCAGTTTGATTTATTGTTGTAACTGTAGTATTGCGCTAATTTGGCTATTGTTAACTAAGCGAAAACATTTAATACCTATAAAACTATTTTAATTGACATATTAAGCAAGATCTATACCCACAAAATAATTAATTTGTTTGGTATAAAAAAGTAGGTTGCACGAATCGGTAAAACTGAACGCTAATCTGTCTATGAACAGCACCCTATGTTTAGGGTTCCGTACCTGAAAAGGAAAGAACGGAACCTTTATAGGATCACTTTGGTGCCAATTCTGGCGTGATTCTCTAAACTTAAAACTAAAAATAACATCAGTAATATTAGTGTGGTTATTGTCAATATTTAGATCCGGCGCATGTTAGGGGCTCTGCTAGGCGTCGCAGTAGGCAAGCTGCCACCAGAAGAGATCAAGGTGATGCTTCAGGTGCCGTCTAAGCACTCTTGGAACACTGCTCTGGAATGCTGCCCCGCCCACGGCCTCTACCTGTGCGACGTCGAGTACGACCCTGCAGACCTTGAATACCAACCAAACCAAATACTGAAGACGGACAGTGACAGTGATAGTGAAACTGAGTAATTATGAGTTTCCTCAGCGAACTGCAGAAGCGTAAACATGAACTAAAAATGACAGAAACAGTGGTGACCAAAGTTGACGGACAACGGTTTATTGAAAGAAATGCTGAAACTGTTGAAAAACTCGACCCTTGCCATGGCTTCGTGGTCGATACGAAACCTGATAATGTCCCTGTGCTCATTGTGGATTGTTTGTATATAGGCTCCCAAGATTGTACAGCTAATGATGTGTTGACGTCGTACAATATTAAAAGAGTTCTCAGTTTAGGTATAGATGTGGATGTCAGTGTTTTAAAAAAATATGTACCTTGTTTAGACTTACCAGAAACCGATATTAAACCTATCCTTAAAGCTAGTCTACCTTTCATACATGAAGCTGTTGAAAACAGAGAGAATATTTTAGTCCATTGCAATGCAGGCGTGTCACGCACTTCTATGGTAGCCATTGCTTATTTAATGAAACACAGGAACATGAAATATGACGATGCATATGCCCTAGTCAAACAGAAAAGGCCAGCGATACAGCCGAATGCAGGATTTCGTAAACAGCTTATGGCTATTTCGAAAATGGAAGAAGTATAAATTATTGCTACGTTAGGGTACGAACCTTATCTAATTCGATTAGTTGTATACGATCTCGATACGCGTCAAATGTGGAGAAGTTCATGCTACTGATTTCTAATTCTCGTTACGTCTGTTGTGGCGCTGTTGCCCATACAAAATTTCTCGATGACGTTTCGCACTCGCAAACTTAACGAATTCGATATTGGTTCATGCTAAGAATAGGTACTGTTATGTATTATTAACGAAATAGTTTGTTTTAATCGATGTTTTGTTACCTGTAGGTTAAGTAAATAAAACAATAATATTTGTAACTAGAACTTTTATTTCATAATAAATATGACAATATCAATAAGTACAAGAGCCAAAAAAATTGTGTATAAATAAAGGGGTTTCGATGTTAACACCATTCCCGAAGTATTAATCACTAAAGGTACGTTATGTATTATTTGTAGCACCAAAGTCTTCATACATAAAGACTAAAAGCTTAAACGTAATCAACATGTATAAATTTCTAAACTTGTCAGTGCAATGAGGGCTATCGCGTCTGAAACCGCCGCTGGAGGCGCTTGTGTTGCGTGAGGTCTCCGAAATGTCAAACGTTATTGCTTGTGAGTCGACTACGCGGTTTTTTTCTAATTAAAATAGTAGTTGTGAATATTTGGTAAAAACTCAGACTAATTATGGCAAATATGAGTTACGTGTCAATGAATGTCAGTTATTTAAAAGCGCAGTTAAGAAAAAATATTGTCCTTCTTTTTTCCGAACAAAACGGGACTGCGCAACACTATGGCATGGGCGATTATGTTTAAAATACGATTAAAATGTAAACTTTGATATCACGAGCGTGTTTACTAACTTTAAAAGCTACATTTCAGGACCTCACTCAACAGTGGCGCCATCTGGTGAGACAAAAAACGATAGCCCTCATTGGCCTCCGAGAGGATAAGGCATTTGCTTGTTTGTATTGATGATAGGATCTATCTAATAAGATATTGGTGTCGATTTTGGCATGATTCTCTAAACTTAAAACTAAATTTAAAATCAGTCACTCCTTCTCATTCTGGATAGAGAATGACAAGGATACACTTAGGTTTAGAGAATCGTGCCAGAACCGACACCTTTGTTTACCATGATGATGTAGAGAGAGAAAAATAATGGAAACTTCAAGTAAGACAAACCAGCTTAAGCATTATTTCTTACTTATCCACATTATTTTATGCATAATTATGCCGCAGTTTAATATATAATACGGATAGTGCGATAAAGAAATGAGTCACCAAAGGACATGGCTAAGATACTGCCCTTAACGTGTATAATTATTTTGCACTAGCCCGTAACTTTATAATATTTTTTTATTATTACGCGTTCATAATTCTCATACAACTTTCGTGCGATAATCAAATTTAAAAGTATAAAAATTTACTTCATGTCTGTTTCAAAAGGAAAATGTTCCGTTTTACAAATATGTGCAAAATAAGTTTCTTAGCCATGTCCTTTGTGGTGATGTTACAATTTTTTTCTCATTAACAAATGTTCTTCGTAATTTTACCGAAGAAATTTATAAATTATGTTTTTTTTAACATTTAACTGCTACATTATAAATTTAAGTAAATTTTACTAGAAAAAAAAGTTCACATGGATAGAACTTTCGTCATTTCAAACTTCTACTTGTAGAGATGTGACCAATATTTAGTTCCCACTCTATATTATCATGGTGATGAATATCTTAATTTTGGATTCAATCGTCATAACATGGATGACCATAAAACATGCGAACTAGATAAACATTACGTTTGATTATATTATTACAATAAAGATTATAAAGTTAAGTATAAATCCATAGTTTGTTAAAATAACAACTTCATGTTAACAACAAACTATCTATAAATGTCATGACAATTATGTCCAATATTAGTTTGACAATGCAAAAGCATTACTCTAAATAAATTTCGACTTTGTAAAATTGTTTGTAAAACATATGTTAAATAATGAAGAAAGGACAAGCGGCACTTTACATAGAAACATGCCTCACTTGTATACAATTGAAATTGGTCTTAAAACAAAGAGAATATTATTTCTACACAAACCAAGAAATGTCACATTTTTAGTGATGCGCGGAAAAGAGTTATTTAAAGAAACATATTTTTTGATATAAAAATACTGAATCATCAAAGGCCAGAAATATAACTTTTAAATGTCTAAAGTAACTGTATTTATTAAAACTTATTTAATAAAAACAATATATTAAGAAATACGTAATAATGGCGCAGGAAAACTGAAAAATTTGAATTTTATTTTTATATAATTGATTTCACTCAATGTTTATCGTTTTTAAGTGGTATATCCACACTGCTTTTTAATTCTATATACTCTGGTACCGGTACATTCCTAGCATATGCGCCGAGTGCCTTTGCATTCTGACGTTTCAAATTTGACATAATATGAATGAAACTTATGGCTTATTTGATAATTAAATTAAAAGCTTAAAATATATATAAAATTTGATAATTATTATTGTTGCACCTTACATATAGATAAAGAACACACACCCCTGTTCACAGCTTTTGCCAGATTATGAATTACAGATAAAAAGAAAGTATATAACATAAGCATAAAATGCCGGGTGTCCTTTCATGTTTAAAAATATATATAAAATAATAGCAATACTAATTCAACAATTTATTCAACACACAAAATTATAGAAACTTTTTATGGTTTGTACAAAATCAGATAGTGTTGTCTCTACATTTGGCTATTCGTTTATGTTATTTGTAAAGTTGACAACAGTCTGTCCTTATCATGCTTTATAAGGAATGAAAGGGACAGACTGATATCAAGTTTACAAATACCAAACACGAATAGCTAAGGGAAGTGTCGGCATAACAATTTAAATTAAAAATGCTTAGTAAGCGCCAAGCTTACTTGTATACAGACATCTTAATTTTCATTCATAGATATAAATTAAAAGAATATCTAAATATTGAAGATTACAGAAATAAAATGGAATTATAAGAATTTTCATATAAAATGTCTACGCATAAAGTGTATCACACCTAACATATAACTTATAGTATACACACCAGCTCTCAGACTACACGAAACTGTCACAATTTTCCAATCAATGTCCAACGTTCGTACTTAAATTTAGGATTAAAAATCAATTGGATAGGAAAAACAGTTGTAGCCTGCTGTCTTTGATTATATACATGCCTAGGTAGAGCAATCCAAATAAACTACGCAAAGAAAACGGCTCATGTTATGCGCAATGTGTGCGCAACTACGAGCGTATCTACCATATCTAGTAGATATTTTTTTGGCCGCGTCCGTGGAGTTAATACGGTATCTAGGCGTGTATTTAATCAAAACCTGCTGTGCTTTTATCCGCACATATTGCAATGATTAAATTGCACTTGGATTAGTCCATTGAGAAAATCTGATATGAAAATGCTGCGCGTTAAGATAAGTATACTAAATCAATGAACACTCGATATTTGGTGATGACGGAGTCGGATTGAACACTAGAAAAGTACAATACATCTAAGGACACAAAAGGGGCACAACCGCGATTATACCAACAGTTTAATCCTACGTGTTCGTGTTACCAATCTGATCAGGATAGGATTTAGAGGTGTGTAGGCCCTAGGGCAGTCGTGGTTCTTAACCTTTTAGTGACAAGGGACCATTTGTCAAATTTTCTGTCTTGCCACCATAGAGCAACACCGCCGACGCGACCAGGAGGGGAGTAGGCATTCACAGCGTTCCCCTCTGTCGATTTTCCCTCGCTGTTGGGCCAGCTCAGAAACAAAACTAGTTGATATTTCACTAGACTCGAGTCAAGTCAAGTGTATGTTAAGAGATCAAAAATGCCAAAATGTAATGTAATTTGCTGTAAAACATATCTGGAATATGTAACTTACAAAAGGATGGTGTTAAATTTCACATATAAATAGAATTGTAAACATATTATTTCTATTTAACCACTTTCAAGCACAAAATTCATATTATTTTGTTAAAATTCAATCTTCGGACTTGTTTGACAAAACAATCGGACTCGCCAGTACAAATTTCAGATCTGCCAATAAAAAATCTTAAGTTTTATCTATGCCCGATTTAGCGCTTTCATTTTTTATGTACGAGTGTCGTAATTACAATTTCGTTTTCTTCGGACTTGTTTGACAAAACAATCGGACTTGCCAGTACAAATTTCAGATATGCCAATAAAAAATCTTAAGTTTCATCTATGCCCGATTTAGCGCTTTCATTTTTTATGTACGAGTGTCGTTATTACAATTTCGTTTTCTTCGGACTTGTTTGACAAAACAATCGGACTCGCCAGTACAAATTTCAGATATGCCAATAAAAAATCTTAAGTTTTATCTATGCCCGATTTAGCGCTTTCATTTTTTATGTACGAGTGTCGTAATTACAATTTCGTTTTCT